TATATAGTGAAATAGCTTTATAGCTCAAATACAACAGAATGTACTAAATATAGTGAAATAGCTTTCTAGCACAAACAGATTGTACTAAATATAGTGAAATAGCTTTCTAGTACAAACAGATTGTACTAAATATAGTGAAATAGCTTTCTAGCACAAATACAACAGAATGTGCTTAATATAGTGAAATAGCTTAATAGCACAAATACAACAGAATGTACTAAATATAGTGAAATAGCTTTCTAGCACAAACAGTGTACTAAATATAGTGAAATAGCTTTCTAGCACAAACAGTGTACTAAATATAGTGAAATAGCTTTATAGCTCAAATACAACAGAATGTACTAAATATAGTGAAATAGCTTTCTAGCACAAACAGTGTACTAAATATAGTGAAATAGCTTTCTAGCACAAATACAACAGAATGTGCTTAATATAGTGAAATAGCTTAATAGCACAAATACAACAGAATGTACTAAATATAGTGAAATAGCTTTCTAGTACAAACAGATTGTACTAAATATAGTGAAATAGCTTTCTAGTACAAACAGATTGTACTAAATATAGTGAAATAGCTTAATAGCACAAATACAACAGAATGTACTAAATATAGTGAAATAGCTTTCTAGTACAAACAGATTGTACTAAATATAGTGAAATAGCTTTCTAGCACAAATACAACAGAATGTACTAAATATAGTGAAATAGCTTTCTAGCACAAACAGTGTACTAAATATAGTGAAATAGCTTTCTAGCACAAATACAACTGTATTAACTACAGTGAAATATAAACATTGTTTATTAAAACGTAACAGGAAAATGTAATGTAGACACTTTGCCATTGCTGGGGTTTGAACTAGCAACCCTTTGGTCTCTAGCCAGACACTCTCAACCAAAGGGAAATTCCCACTAGCTGAGGCTTGAGAGGCAACTCTTACACTACTTCCTCCTTCACAATAATCCAGGTTTGGTATCTCTAAGGAAGCATCTCAATCTCCTATAACTTCAACCCTTGAAGTGGTCAACATCACCAAATCTGTTATAGGAAGGATTAATGGAAAGCACACTGCCATTACTGGAGTTCGAACTAACAACCCTTGGGTCTCTAATCAGACAATCTACCACTCTACTAAAAGTAAATACCCACTAGTTGAGGCTTGAGAGGTGATCTGTACTCTTAACTTCTCCAAATACAGTGAAGAAAAGTTTCAGTGCAGATGCAATATTGTACCAACACAGTGAAAAGATCCCTAACTGGCCAACACACTGAAACATGGTTAGTATTAAATACCTTATCACAGGCTTATATATAATAACTTAGTATGTATCAATTTATTTCAATAGACTGCTAATAAATACCATCAATCTGTTAATATTTTACCCAACTTTACTAACCTAGATAATCTGACAACCTTCAAATAGTTAAATGAATTTAACATAATATAATGATAAAATGCAATATTTTTTTTTCTATTCCTGACATTGTCTCAATTTCCTCATAAGTGACATCAAAATAGAACAGTTATAAATCCTACATGTGATGCAGTCCATTGAAAGTAGAATTGTAGGTGTTTTTTGTCAAACAAACTGCGAATAAATCACAACTGTGGGTAAATCAAACAAGGAAACAAATTTGTGAAGGAATGTATGTATAATGTTCATGTTTTTAAACCATTATCTTACACCAGAGACAAGTACTGCACAGTTAGTACAAAAATCACACCTTTACTAAACACAATCAATTTAAAAAAAAAACAACACTTTTATAAAATACAAAGAATTAGTTCAACTATCAGCGTCAAGATATCTTTCCTAAGGTCAGTGTGGACTTAGAAATTGGGTGGGAATAACCCCTACATGTATAAAATTAGACTTTCTAAATATAGCACATCAGGGAATGTGGAGCTCAGTCACCGATTGGATAATAGATTTTATGTGAAGTTTGTGCTAAATCTGCAAGTCTGTACATTGTTCACTTATCAATTTCTGCTGGAATCCGAATTCTATTGCTTTGTTTGGCTTTGTAACGATTTTTAAACATATATATTTCACTGATTGGTAATAAAAAGCAAACTTGTTGTAGTTCAGTCATGGTCAAGCTAATGTTTGTAAACCAGTCTAATTGGATCTGTATAGAATTTCCACATTTTATATATAGCATGTTGAGATGTACGATTCCTATCAGAAAATCTTTTTTTTCATTTTTTTTCGTAAAAACCTTGAGATGAAATCTTGACTTGTGCTGAATATTCCAGGAATAAATCTAATCTAAAAGCGTTAAAGATTTAAAATTGAAACTACTACTTAAACAAGTTCACAAAATCTGTATTTCACCGACAGTTGACAATTCGTAAACATCAAGATGCGTACAAAGGATGATATAATTCCTCTCCTGTCTTGTTTGCTTTATATGGCACAAATTTTAATGCATTAGCTGCAGATAAAATAGGAAACATTGTCTCATAAATATACACTGTAGATATTATGTTATCAATATATCAGAAATGTCTTAAAACATGACTTGTTCTCTTCCATAGTCATCAAACTGACGGCAGAAATCCAACAGAAAGAGAAAAATGTGAAGCAGAAGGCCTCTTGTGAAGTTATATGTGTGTGTGTATATATATATATATATATACTGTATGTACACTATACTTCTGAAGTTTTAAGGCAAAGCCAATTAATTATAGGTTTTTCAACCACAATTTAACCTAACAACACATAAGATGATAATCTGCTTCAGAAACCTAGATTTATCTCCCTTCCATATCGTAAACTCTGTCTTAGTCTTCAAAATACAGTGTTTAAAAAAAAAATTCTCAGTTTTAAGTTTTTAGGTTAATCTGCAGGGAATATAGTGTTGTTTGAAAAGGTAAACTCCATCCTTTACAAAAATGTGATTAAAAAAAAATGGACAAGAATGGATTTAAATATCTAGTCGAAGACAGAAAGGAAAATATCAAGAACAAACATTTTTTTCAATAATCTAAATTTTTGCAAGATGGCAAACAACTTAACATACACTGGTATAAAAGATTTATAATTATTGCAATCCAAGTGCTGTGAGTAACACAGTGGATACATATCATTTATAATTGCTGTACAAGTTTTTCTAACAATGGTTACCCTGAACTATGGAATGATTACATATATAGATATACCTTCAGTCATTAGAAAACACGGGGCTACATACTGTGAATGCAAACACTGACCGAGAAAAGATGAGCTAAGAGATATGGACTCTGTTAGACTCAGATATTCAAATCAACATGGAAACCACTCAGAGTTCTCTTTGTACAAATAAACATATGGGATTGGAATTTGCAACTGACTGTCCCTGCATATCAATGTAAAAATAAATCCCACGCGAAATTTAAGTGATTTACACAATAGTACAAAATTTTAAAACCAGTCATCATAAAATTTGTAACTGTTAAACTTCTACAAAACTTATTAAAATTGGTAATAATTGCTAAAATATAACAGAAAATTTATTAAAAACTGGGTAAAAATTGCAAAAACCGTCACTCAAAAACAAAAACGACAATAAAAAAATCTCTTCCATTATCAAATGCTAACAAAGCAACAAATTAAGTAGTGTGTATGTTATTATCCTACATACCACAGAATACAACACTCGTACACAACAATCCAGTGTACACATAATACACTACACCCTCGCCATTTTAAAGTGGACTACATACAGTTACATGTACTATCGACAGGGTGAGAAGCAAAAACAAGATGACATTCGTTTCTGTAAGGTTCACAGACACTATGGAAATTACAAGTCTGTATATATAAATGTTTCACATATCTATATCATTAAAAACGTGAGCCTGGTATCTCGGAAAAAATCAGAAATGAAAATAAAACCTCATTGAATGCCAAATTCATATCGAAAATCATGCAGCTTAACTATGTGTCGGAAAGTTACCTTTGTAAAGCATTTCTTAAAGTTGGGTTAGCTATCTGTACACCAATCCATGTGTTGCCAATAAGGTTGTTAGTTTTCTGTAGCATCACAGAGTTAGCACACTTAGTCTGCCATGTTACCAAGACAATCCTATATATATCACAAAGTTAGTACACCTAGTCTGTCATGTTACCATGACAATCCTATATGTATCACAATGTTAGCACACTTAGTCTGTCATGTTACCATGACAATCCTATATATATATCAAGTGAATTATGTGTCAGATAGTTTGTGTTCTTCTCCAGAGAAAAACAAACAATCCACAGAACCAAAGGATGCTCGCCGAATAAACGCCAGTTCCAAAAGGACTAATTTTGACAAAATTTAAATATGAAAAATAACAAAGGGCAATTACTCCTTAATTATGCAAAAGAGAGTTATGGTTTTTGTACACTGCACTTCTCCTTATCGAGATCTATCTACCTATGTACCTATGTTTCATGTTAATAACTCTTATAGTTTTTGTGATATGCTCCAGACAAAATCATGATGGACAGAAAGACAGACAGATGGACAAATCGTTGACCATATGCTCTCCCTTTGGGGAGTACATCAAAAACAATGACATCCCACATATTTACAAATACCATGGATATATTTAGTGGCAATGTTGATATATCTAATATTCATAGTTACAGACTTGATATTCCATAGTGTCTGTTAACATGTTTGAATTGATTGTGCGAGGCTTGGGCTACTGTGCGATCTAAGGCTCTATCCATTCCACTGTACAGTACTGATGTTGTATTATTATTAGTAACAAACTTTCCATCTCCGTGCTCTACCTACTGCTAGGCATGTCAAACAGAAGTTCTGTAGTTACCAAAAAGCCTCATGTGTTGCCTTCATAAACAAACATGTTTTCCATCAAAATAACTTCCATATATTACCATTTTTCTTTAATTTTGGCTAGATTAAAAAATTTACCAATGTGTAACCTAACCAATTAACTAACAGAGATATATATTAAGATTAATATTGTAAATACAAATATGGATAATGTGTACATACAACTGTGTGTTTACTAAAGATAAGCAGGAGGTACTCGGTCAGCCTCGTCAAGGTTGTGACACACAGACCGATAAAATAGGAAATCCTTACAAGGATTCAGACAAATCTTGATTTTCTTTGGGTGACAGCATAAGTAAAAAAATATCTGGAACACGATCTGACACACACAGCCAGACGTTACCACGGAAATAGCCAGGAAGTAGAACCAGTCACTCTTGTTAGGAGTAAAGTATGTCCAGGACAAGAGCATTGCAAAGTTCTCAAAATAAAACACGAAATAGTAAATCATGACTCTAAATCTTGTATGGCCATCGCGGGTATTCACAAAACAAAATATCAAAACATATCCTATCACAATGTTAAATATAATCTCATCACGACGATTCTGATAAAATTCAGTTTTCTGGAAAAACAGCCACATGGACATACATAGCCAGTGTACTCCTGCTGCAATTAGAACTAGGTACCCAAGTTGTGAGGCAAAGAGTGCTATAATGACGACACGAGGTCCAACCTCACAGGCTCGCCACAGAAAGTATCCAATGGCTCCACCAATGTTTTTATACAGGTCACTGAAGCTACTACCGGTGTTCGACTCATGAGAATGCATGGCACGAAGAGCTCGGTGATAGGACACCAGAGACCAGGACAGACCAATCCACGACCCAATCATAGCCACCGGGCGGATGTACACTGTAACAGATCAACACAGATATTAGTACCCTTGGCCTCACTTACAATGTACTGTGTTACAGAAATCATTTCTTCTTTAAAGTAGATTTGAATTTACCATAAAATATAAAATGCAGTGTACCTTTACAGGTTTTTGTCATCACAGAAAACCCCTAATCTACTTTATCTTTCATTGGATAACAATTAGAATTACAAGTAAAAAAGATGATGGCTCCGTTGTAGTATAACCTGGTCTCTGTACTGTAAGTTAGATCTTTTGCCCTCTTTTCTTATTCCTTTTATTTGCTGATAATCTGATATTGTATTGACAATTGATATAATAACACCAATAAACAGTCAATGAGTTTAATCTAAGATCTATCGTCCTTATCTAGAGAAATGTCTAACTAACTGTACAAGTCTAAATCCAACATGACTACTTTTCAGCCATCTTGTTTTTCAATCCATTCAGTACTCCCCAAGGAACAGAGGAACAATCTTCAATTGTCAAATTCTAAAACGTCAGCCTGTCTGCAAATTTTATTTTTCTAATCAGTGTAAAAAATTTTAGATGCACAAGTCGGGACCAATGGTGAGGTCTTCTCAAGTGATAGCAATAACAAAATAGAACTGCAAAAATCCAAGATGGCCACCATTCTTCTGTATTTATTCACTGACCATTCTCAAAATTGAACAAAAATAACAGGGGACCAAAGGGAACATACAATGTCTGGACTACGATATCAGGACAGAATGACGGACTGATGACATACGGCTAAACATACACCAAGGCTAATTTGAATAGTCTTTTATCTGATGGTGGATTAAAAACCAGAAAAACGATGTCCAATAATGACTTCATAATATGGTCTGTATTACCGGTAAATGCTTACACTTGAATACCCGCTACTCCTTCATAAAGGAATCTCTTCCAACCATGTGACTATTTCTGACCAATGAATGAATAGAATTATGTCCAATTGTCATTAAACATTATTTGGTAGAGGATTAGTAAATTTATCATTCCAATTATTTGGAAAATCAATAAATAAAAGTCAATCTTGAATAATCGCAATATTAAAATAAAATCTATAGAAAATTAATACAAATATATATATTGTGCATGGTCTTACTCGTGAAAAATAAAGGACTTTCATGTTTTTCCTCTGTCAGTATAATATACAGCTGGATGATGAGTTGAGGTGCAGACTCCAGAAAACTTTCCAGCATCCGTATCAAACTGGCATCATTGTCCTCATACAACATCTGTTTGTAATGATGGTCTTTTGTTTTCTTATTGTCGCCATCATCAACTTCACTGGTCCATGATTTACATCCATGGTAGATGTACTCCACATGTCTAAAACATCAAGAAGTTCTTCTTCAGAATATTTTACTTCATTGGTCTTACATGTAGAAGTAATTGAGCAACATAACTAGACTTAATATACAAACCATAACAGGCCCTTGGGTCTATAATGCTCACCAGGATTTTTCAGCTTTTAGTAAAAAAAATTCTTTTTTTTTTAATTATTGTTACACGTTTCCCATCAAGAGGAGGAATCTCAATGTTTCAAACTAAATTTTGACAAAATATCTTCAAAAAAATTTTTTGAAGTCTTTACTTTTTTTCCATAATGGGTCCTGCCCCTCTGCAGACCCTAGAGTTACAAACATGCTCTATTGGGCCCCATCCCTTAGACCTCACAAGCCTGAGAACAATCTTTTACACAAAATTAATTCCAGCTCTCCTCTAGGATGCTCCTGACTAAATTTGTTCAGAATACTTTCATCCCAACAGATGACCAGGAGTTTTGAAGGGATTCCATTATTTCCCATCATATTGGACCCTTTAGCCCTTTGGGGGTCAGTCCCATCATCTGTACATTTTTTATTTCTCATTACCATGAAATACTATCTGTCAAATATGAGTGATAACTGATGTTTAGTTCCAGAGAGGAAGATTTTTAAACCAATCATAACGAAATAACCATATCTGGGCTTGGCCAGTTCCAGAGGTCCCCTTCCAGATAAATCAAGTTAAATGATGATCAAAGATTAAGAAGATGTCGTTGGATGATAAAAGTTGATTTACAAACGTCAGACATCAGACAATGGAATGACGAACAGACAACAGACACACAATATCTGGCATAAGTTCACCTTGGCCCTTCAGACCAGGTGAGCTAATATTAGACAATCAAAAGAATAAATGATTTAAATTCAAACAATAATAAAGTACCTTTACAGAACTGGAAACTGTTTAAGATTCAAGACAAGTAAATTGGGTCATCTATCTGTCTCACTCCTCACTCACTACTCAGTGACAATCCTTACAATGGACAGAAGACTGAGAATTAACTTGGATTTGTTGTTTTTGAGTTTATCATCTAGTCAACTGTCAGACTGGATCATTTTCAGGTGGATTTACATTAGCTGTTGGCAACCTCACTGAACATGATAACAGAGACACATCACATTTCATCCAGAACAATGGGCTTAAAGTGTTAAGCCCAAGGACAGTATAGATTGGTCTGTTTCTCAGCTTTATGATCCAAACACCTTGGATTTTCATCCAAGGTCACCCAACCCTAGTATTAACTAAATTACGACAAATTTACATGACAACAGCGCAATATTTTAATAAAAGTACAAAGTCTGTAACAAATCTCTGTATCAATTCTAATACCATTGTTATTTATATCAAGACGACGCCCATGAGGGACATTGTCAAAAGGAGTAGCTCATTTAAAAAATAAACATGTACTTAAACACAATATTGATGACAAGCTTTCAAAAATAGATCTGAATTTTTTTAACATTGTTTTAACAGGTAATTCCAATCATATTTAAACAATACCCTGCTTACAAATGGTCCCTATTACAGATGTTCTCTGGCTCTTTTTAAACCATCTGATTCTCTAGATCTTACTGGGATGATTTACTGGATATGGACAGTCCCTATATCCCCCTAGGAAACCCCATCAACATGGTTGTTTTTATAGTCAGTAGATAAAACGTATAACAGAACAGGGTAATGAGATATAGTTCAGATGTCTAGAACATGCAATATCGCTATGTAAGTAGCTATGGTGGAGTCTTCACACGGAGCTGAGTATTGTCCTAGAGTGGAGTATTGTCCTAGCTCAATAACAATCACAAAGTCAACTTTACAGGTGTATGGAGTTCTTCGGTTACGGCATTCATCTCCTCCATCCAACCATGATACAGGTACATGACAGCCTTCTTCGATTGTAATACCACACAATCGTAATACCACACACCCATTGATGTAACATCTCTACCTACTTAAAGGGTTCTGGTACACAGCACAAAGTACATTTAATAAACTACATACAGAGTTACTGTAATCACAGTTAGTTTGTCTAATTTGCCATAGTTTAATTTCCTGCAGTATGATATATATTGATTTTGAAAAGTGTTTTATAATTTACACACTGTTTAGCGTTGGTATGTTACAAGTCCCCACTACCCTAATGATAGAAATAACAGCAAGGTTTATCTAATATGACGTTTGTAAAGTGGACAGTTTAGGTCACTGTGACCTATTTTTTAATAATAGATTTATTCATTTCCTCTGCTTGTGGATTTACATCACATTTGACGACAGGCCTAGGACATACACACAGACAGGAATCCTTAAGACACAAAGTTGAACTTAGCTAAATATTCAGACGTACAGAGAGACAGACAAACAAAGAGACAGGGATCTAGACAGCTTAACTCAAAGCTGAACCAACTGAAAGTGTACAGAGAGACAAACAGACAGACATACCGGTATACAGATAGGGATCAAAGGCGCTTTATACAAATTTTAATCTACAGGTTCAGATGGATGTACAGACAGACAGACAGAGAAACAAACAGACAGACATATACAGATAGGGATCAAAGGAGCTTTATACAAATTTTAATCTACAGGTTCAGATGGATGTACAGACAGACAGAGCGACAAACAGACAGACATATACAGACAGGGATCAAAGGAGCTTTATACAAATTTTAATCTACAGGTTCAGATGGATGTACAGACAGACAGAGAAACAAACAGACAGACATATACAGACAGGGATCAAAGGAGCTTTATACAAATTTTAATCTACAGGTTCAGATGGATGTACAGACAGACAGAGAGACAAATGGACAGACATAAACAGATAGGGATCAAAGGAGCTGGCCAAGCAATTCAAATACCTATAGTAGCAGCACCATGGAGGAAAAAAAGATTAGTATTCCAAGAAAATCAGAAAGTTCCCTTAAGTTCCACTAGAAGTGCAATATTTGAAGCACTGAAGATAATCTGCAGCATTAGTTACTGTAATAATTAGCAACATTGTTAAGCCATACACGTATAAGTACATACTGTATATGCTTTTCCTAAAAGCAGAGAGTGATAACAGTGTATAAGGTCTTACTTCTTAAGTATCACATATGAAATTAAACCACTAAATTTTAATGTTATTTCAACATACATGTTCGTTTTACGTGAGTTAAACATTAAAAATTTAACATTGAAATAACATTTTTTTGTAAGAATAAAATGAGGACAAAAAGTTTTTTTCATGTTAATTTCAAACTTATCCGGTCAACAATCTCACAAAATTCATTCTATATGAAACACAAACCCCCTCCACGAAATAAAATTGAAAATACAATGTAGTAGAAATCTAATGCTTCATTCCAACCTACATCTATTGAGGATATAAACTGATGTATCCTAGAGAAGTTGGCTCCCTAATACAGAAATTTATCAATGGATTAATTATAATACAAGCATCTTTGATGATAAAATGTGTTTGTTCTGGTGTGTTTGGAATATCCAAGTGATTCTAAATTCAGCACGACTACACACAGTGATGAGTTAGATCTGTAAACAGGAGTATGTGTTATACCACTGTAGCAGCAGGAATGACTTATATATATATATACTTCTGTATATATATATATATATATCTGTGTGTGTATACCAATCTGCAACATAACAACGTGTTATGCAAAATCTCTCTCCAATGTGCCAACCTGAATTAAAGGAAAGTCCTCTGTAAGCTTCAGTAATCCACAGGGCTGTGGGCCAATCAATATCTCATACAAACAAGAAAGAGAAGTCTAGAGCACCATCAGCTTTCTAGTCAGGAAAACAACAAGTTATGTCACCAAAAATCTGTTGTGATGTACAGAAGGACAGCAAGTCATGTCACCAAAAATCTGTTGTGATGTACAAAAGGACAGCAAATTATGGCACCAAAAATCTGTTGTGATGTACAAAAGGACAGCAAATTATGGCACCAAAAATCTGTTGTGATGTACAAAAGGACAGCAAGTTATGGCACCAAAAATCTGTTGTGATGTACAGAAGGACAGCAAGTTATGGCACCAAAAATCTGTTGTGATGTACAGAAAGTTATGTCACCAAAAATCTGTTGTGATGTACAGGAAAACAGCAAGTTATGTCACCAAAAATCTGTTGTGATGTACAGGAAAACAGCAAGTTATGTCACCAAAAATCTGTTGTGATGTACAGGAAAACAGCAAGTTATGTCACCAAAAATCTGTTGTGATGTACAGAAGAACAGCAAGTTATGTCACCAAAAATCTGTTGTGATGTACAAAAGGACAGCAAATTATGGCACCAAAAATCTGTTGTGATGTACAGGAAAACAGCCATTTATGTCACCAAAAATCTGTTGTGATGTACAAAAGGACAGCAAATTATGGCACCAAAAATCTGTTGTGATGTACAGGAAAACAGCCAGTTATGTCACCAAAAATCTGTTGTGATGTACAGAGGAACAAGTTATGCCACCCAAAATCTGTTGTTATTTACATGTAAACTGCAAGTCACGCTACCAAAAATCTATGTTTCCTTAATTTGTATTCACTACCTCATATCATTGACTTCTAATATCTTACATCTAAGTCTTTAGTCATAATTACGTGTGGCCATTGTGTTCAAGACATGAACATGTATTCATCTAGGGTAGAAAATCTTCACCTAAAAATTTTCTCAATTACATAACAATATGTTTTTATATAGAATTTTAATTAAAAACTTGAGTTTAAAGGATGTGTAGAGCTCAACCAATATAGACAGGTATTTAAATATTGAATTTTTACATTGAAATAAACAATGGATACCTGTCTAACATTCTCTGGTGACTGACAAATGCACAACTACCAGTCCAGACCAGGCATTCCATACAGGGAGGGAGTGATTGATCTTTTTATAATCTTAAAGGAATAATTTGTAAAAATGAGGTATTCATTTATTCATAGCTATACTGAGCTAGTGATTACACAAGAGGGTAAATAGTGGAACAAATCGTAGAGGTACACACTGATAATACATCTATTAAATCTCCTATATATTAGAGGTAATACCTTTTTTGATATAATTGATCAAATTTATACGTCCTTCAACACAGAGAGCTGTAACGATGAGATTCCAGTGCTAGGGGTGAAACAGAACCAGGAAATGTTGATAAGACATAAAAGTCTCCCACGTATAGTATAGAGTAAACTTTGATCAGACACAAATCTTAGTGTCATGAGAAATAATAGTACATGCATTGTGTAAATATGAACGTAATCACTTGAGAGGAACTGAACAAGTCTCGAGGTAATGAGACAGACATGGGTAAACACTATATACATGTAACACCCTACCATAGTGGCAGGGGGAACAAAACCAGCCCATAGTAGGTATGGTATTTACTTACTAGTTTCAACATTTCACAGAATTTCTGGATATAAAGTAGGTTGTTTTGTTGGTTACTAAGGAGCTGATTTGGTTATTAGGCCTTGAGCATCTGTGTCTAGTGTGGAGGTCCTGAGTTCAAATCTTTGCAGTCTTCCTCTTGGATCTCCTTTTAAATATTGACCACACTGGCTTCACAAACTTATAAGAAATATTTCAAAAAGATGAAATCATTCCCCTCGGTCTCCCTTTAGCTTCTGCTCTGTCTGCAGACATATCTTGGTACAATGTATACCCTTGTTCAAATCAAAATGTATGTGCTGCATTTTGAAAGTTGAAAAGGGAATTTTAACATATAAATGAGCAGGACTTTGTACATGTATTAATCATAATGACAGATTACCCCTAAGATCTACGTATTATGTTGTACAGCACTCTGCTCTGTGTATCGTACAAAAAATACAAAACGCTTTCATGGTGAATGAAGTTCTAAATCGCTATGTCATAGCAATGACAATTAACTGATGTATTCAACCCACTCTCAATCTAGCGCCACATTTGCCAACCTAAATCTTACTGTTCACTGTTCATACTTCACAATGTAACTTGTGTTACTTGACACCAGCTTGAATAACAGATTTTAAAGGAACAAATAACAAGGCATTAATAAAAATGTTTGTAACATTCTATATAGAAGAGTATACTAGTTACCATAATATACAAAGTCAGCGCAGTCATGGTATACACTGGTCAAAAGTATAGATATAAAATGTATGACGCACACCTTGGGTTATCTGTGGTATGTTTAGTCACAACATTGACCAATTGATGCCCTATATAATTCTCTGCATAAATAATTTGCCCCAAATATCTACACTGATAGTCATCTTATAAAGTTAGTGAAACGTGGCAATGGCCTTGAGACACGTATCATGCATAATTATTCAATTTTATGTATCTCTGGAATATACGTACAAATAGTGGTGTAAACAGTGTCAGTTTCATACATCTCGGGGATATCTACCATATAGAACATGGTGTCAGCTTCATACATCTTAGAGATATCTACCATATAGAACATGGTGTCAGTTTCATACATCTCAGGGTTATCTACCATATAGAACATGGTGTCAGTTTCATACTTCTCAGGGATATCTACCATATAGAACATGGTGTCAGTTTCATACATCATAGAGATATCTACCATATAGAACATGGTGTCAGTTTCATACATCTTAGAGATATCTACCATATAGAACATGGTGTCAGCTTCATACGTCTTAGAGATATCTACCATATAGAACATGGTGTCAGTTTCATACTTCTCAGGGATATCTACCATATAGAACATGGTGTCAGTTTCATAGATCTCAGGGTTATCTACCATATAGAACATGGTGTCAGTTTCATACATCATAGAGATATCTACCATATAGAACATGGTGTCAGTTTCATAGATCTCAGGGTTATCTACCATATAGAACATGGTGTCAGCACCATACATCTTAGAGATATCTACCATATAGAACATGGTGTCAGTTTCATAGATCTCAGGGTTATCTACCATATAGGACATGGTGTCAGTTTCATACATCATAGAGATATCTACCATATAGAACATGGTGTCAGTTTCATACATCTCAGAGATATCTACCATATAGAACATGGTGTCAGTTTCATACATCTCTGGGATATCTACCATATAGAACATGGTGTCAGTTTCATACATCTCAGAGATATCTACCATATAGAACATGGTGTCAGTTTCATACATCTCAGAGATATCTACCATATAGAACATGGTGTCAGTTTCATACATCTTAGAGATATCTACCATATAGAACATGGTGTCAGTTTCATACATCTCTGGGTTATCTACCATATAGAACATGGTGTCAGTTTCACACACCTCTAGGATATAATATCTACTCTACAGAAGATGGTGTTTGACATTTTTAATAAAAACGAAGTGATGTTGTACATATCCACGATCTTAGTATTATGCTGAATGCAATCGCTGTTGTTAAGTTATTATTACTTTTATTTGTAAAAATGAAAAAACGAGACCTAACAATAATTAAATGAAAAATATTCAGATAAATTTCTATAGAGTTTGGGATTTGTCCACAAGCACTCCACCCTTCATTCAAATCCAATGTTTAGATAGACGACTCAGTTTCTTTACCAGGGCATAAATATAATCAGTAGTATGTGTTTTGTGTAAAACATGCATTTTGTACATTAGAGTTATACGTGTAATAAATCAAAGGCATGTTCACTATGTTTAAAGCCCATGAAAAGAGAAACAAGAGATACACAACTTAAATCACTTTCAGAGAGAGAGAAAAATATGCTCCACATTATATCATGCATGTGACTGAACATTTATCATTAATATCATTATATTATGGCGATATACCGATATCAAAGCACAGGTACCAGGCTCATCTGTTGATAAACATTTATCAATCCGAGCGTACATTTATTGACAGACAAGACTGGTATCCGTGATCAAATCCTGTCCGATTCTTACCGCACTGCTGGTCCCATCATGAGAGGGAACGTGAAGAATACACGACAGAACCATGTACACAATGACGTCCTAACGATCTCCGGTTGTTCCTTTTCACGGGTGTAGTCGAGGTAGTACCATTGTACACTTAAACCATTAGATATGACCGCGGGCACCAAAGTAAAACTAGCCGTGAGCCAAAATGCGAGGTAACGTCCGTGTCTGAAGTACTCTTCAGTAAGTACAATGTCCGACACAAAGTCATACAGGAAAAATAGAGTAGAACACACCGTGATAAAAAGGTCTATTTTGGTAAAAGGGTAACGATATGAACCGTCTGTATGGTCGATCAGATCGTATTCTAGAAAACTGTTTCTCCGGAAAACCGTGGCGGAGGGCTGGGTCGGGCGGTCTGCATGGGTCGTGTCCTCCAGGACCTGTAACTGGATGGAGTCTTCTGAATACCCATTGACCGTCCGTTCCTGATCTGGGGTTAGTTTGCATTTTGTCCGCCGTGTCTGGATCCTCTTACCTCGGCCGTTACAGCGTGAACTTGACACGCCACCCGAGAACGAAGCCATTTCGATGTTTACTTCACACCCTGTCAGGGTCACCTGTGCGTTTTGTTGTTGATAGTCGATCCACAGTTGACGCTTGGATTATGTTTTTGAGGGGCCAAAAACGGGGTATTGCAACGTGCTCTATTCATCCATGTCCGCACAGGATCACTTCGAACAAAATACCGACAAAGACAAACGGTAAGTACACATGTACTCTCCATCGTCACGCCGATATATAGAAATATGAAAATGGTTGGTAGACATGCAACTTGAAAGTACTAATATCAAAACTTAAAACCAGCAGTTTACTTTCGTTTTACAACAAGAACCAGATACACAAGGAAATACTGGCTATATAATAAGAACTTAAACGTTACTCCCGGGAGGAGAGGGAGGTGGGTGTGTCGAAAAATGTCTGCACGATCGAATTATCAGGCTCTGTCTGACCAAACAAACGAACACTACTCACGAAGAAAACGTTCATACCAGTGGCCACAATGCATTGCATTACTTAAACATCTACACTTTCAACATTACATTGGTAAGACCTCTCGACCTGCTTACGTTATGAATAGAGCAGGTATCCAGACTGGCTTCACAGGTAAGGTGGCTAAAAATAGATCACCCTACCTGGACAACAGTACAAGTTAACCTTACCCATATAAATATAGTCATTCACTCACAAAATTCTACTACAATTAAAGTGTAACTTTGTGACAGTATTATAGCCAGATGTAAGTTTCTTATGTCAGGCACATTTTACTTCTTGTTCATGTTTGGCTGAAGTTGGCATTGAACTAATCTTGATGTGCTAAGTAAAAACATACAAGTGTAACAGAACAAGGGAAAATTCACATTCGATACTGTTGAGTGTCCCAACCAGGAATCAAACTCAGGTCCTCTGGCTCTACCAACTGAGCAAAAGAAACTTGTTTCAGAGCCTAATTTTCTAAAATGACTTCCTTTTTCCAGCTGCAGGGGTGGAACAAAAATTCAAAACAAGGGCGTGTAATATAAGTTAGCGGTTGTGAAGGATTTTGACAACAAAATATCAATGGGTGATAAAGCTATTCTGTCGGCATAAATTCAGGGTTTAGGTGAACAGCTAAAATGTTAAGGTGTTTCCTCCTTTTTTCATGAAAAGAAGTAAAATATTTACTGTCTTCAGGATACTCATTTTGTTGAGAACCAAGAACATGTTATCAGAAACAAACTGGGTTATGATTGTTTTTTCAGTTTCTTCAAGTCAAACTCAAGAGGGGTGGCTATCTTATTTAATAATAATTTTGAATTCAGAGTCAAGAAAGAAAAAAAAAACTTAAAATATATAGAATTATTACAAAATGTTATTTTAGATACAAAAAAGCAATATCCCTTACCTGTTTATGATCATGGACACATCAAAAGTTAATTTGGTGAGATCAAGAACACAATGGAATGAGGAAGGAGAAAAAACTAACAAGTTATCTTTTTGGTTTGGAAAATATAAAAATTCTCTGTCTGTCTCTCTCTTATGATACATTTTCCTTCATCTTTCTTTGTGTAAAAAAATTAGTGGATCAGTAGGTGAGAGATGAAAATGTGTATAGGTGAGTGGGGGTGTGGGGGGAGGGGTGGGGGGATGAAGGGTGAAGAGTGAGGAGGATATGTGTGTGAGTGTGGAAGATGTACATGTAAGAAATGACAAATTCTTCTTTGCTGACTAGCAGATAAGGATGGTGACTGATTGTTGATGATGATGATGATGATGATGATGATGATGATGATGACGATGATGATGATGATGATGATGATGATGATGATGATGATGATGATGATGATGACGATGATGATGATAATGGCAAAGATGGATAAGAGGTGGAATAACATCTTGTACAAGTGTGTGTGTAATGATGTGTGTTTGAAGGTGATGGTGGGTGCATGTGCATGCATGCATGCGTGAATACAAATATATTTGTCACTGCCATGTTTAAAAATGATGTAAAAAACCTTAAAAAAAATAAAAGAATTAAAAAAAAAGAAGCATGCTCCGTCAGCTAAGTGACAGAGAATACATTTAACACTATATACAAGCCACACCGATCCACTCCTATAACACCAGGTTTTATATTTGTTCTCAATCTCAAATCTCCTTGAATACATGTACATAATGTACATACATACATACATACATACATATACATTTGCATGAAAAAGTACATGTTCCATTTAGCATCCATGCAAAGAACAGCTGGACAATCTATCCACCATCGTATGACTTTGTAAAGCCCTTCACTATGTGAACCTAGTAATATTTTAAACTTAATTGCTCTGTAAGTTCATGACAATGAGTAACATCAATTATTATGCAAATTGTAGCCTCAATCAGTACAGGATAGAAAAAAAATCCTCGAAGCTCTTGTAATGTCCTGGAAAAATTGGGAAGAATTTGTTGTGGCTAGAAGTATTGACTGCCAACTCTCAAGTCAGATACAAATTAATAGTAATATCGGTACCAATGACCCCTGACCTTAATGATGGTCAGTAACTTGTAGTCGGCACCATTTACACCTGACCTTATCAATGGTCAGTAACCAATAACCCTTGACCTTGACCCCACCAGTCTAAAGGGGACTTCCTACCATTTTACACACTAGTACCCAGGGTAAGGTGACTTGTTTCTTCTACTTCCTTCTCCACAAAGACTTTTGTCCCCTGAAGACTTATCTCAATAACTTTGACAGAGAAGAAATCCTTTGCTTTTGCAGTGCTATATATGTTAGTATGGTATAGGGAAAAATACAAAATTTTATAGTGTAAAAGAGCAAAGAAAATATGTATTCCTGTCAAGTACCTCACCCAGGAACCAAACCTGTATCTTCAGCACGATGATTTATTGGCTCTATTAAATGCGCAAAAGAAGCGTACTGAATGACAGTTATTTTTAACACTATGACTCTGACCCATTCTTGTTATACTGGACACCACAGTGAGAATGTCAACTGATGACAATGTATGGAACTACATTGTAATGTTAATCAAACTTGCCTTTGCAGATAAAGCAACGCAGAATGTCGGTTGAAGTGGTCCTTAAGAACAGTGCCCGCACAACTGGGGAGGGGCCACACTGGGACGAAGAGACTGGCACTCTCCTGTATGTAGATATTTGGGAAGGTGACATACACAGATGGAGATCTTCAACAGGTGTTGATGAGAAAATCCATCTAGGTAAGATCGAATGATGTGGGTTACACAGTTAATAGAGAGTTCTTTTGTCGGATTCTTTTTCATTTTAAGAAGATATTTATCTTTTCATTATTTGAAATAAATTATCAGATGATGTCTGTGTGTTTGTCACTAGATAATCAGTTGTTGTCTTTGTTACTAGATACCTGTGTGACACCTGTTGTGTTTGTACCTGTGTGATATTTGTACAGTGCTGAATAGAATGGCTGTAAACATGTATTAGAGTAAGAAAGACAAACTGATTATATAGACTGATCAATATGTTATTACCCGAGATTTTCTACAAGATTTAACTTACGGAATATATCTTGCTACCTGAAATAAGCCCGTCTTTTCAAAAATTTGTCTGTCATTATATTCTTTTGTTTAATGTGATTTGTTAGAGGGACCAGTGAGCTTCATAGTGCCGAGCAAGACAGGGGGTTACATCATCGGTAAGAACAGGAGTATCTGTCATCTCGAATGGGACACAGAAAAAGTCACACCATTACATACTGTAGAAGAGGAGACAACAGATAGGTTCAATGACGGAAAATGTGACAAGAATGGACGACTCTGGGCAGGTAAATATTATGTTTGGCAGAGGGAGAGTAACTCAAAGGTACAAAGATGGAAAGTGTGACAGGAACGAATAGCTCTGGACAGGTAAACATTACATATGTTGTAGGGGGGATAACTCACAGGTACAACGATGGAAAGTGTGACAGGATCGGGAGGCTTGACCGGTAAACATTACATATGTTGTAGGGGGGATAACTCACAGGTACAACAATGGAAATTGTGACAGGATCGGGAGGCTTGACAGGTAAACATTACATGTGGTGTAGGGGGGATGACTCACAGGTACAACGATGGAAAGTGTGACAGGAACGGACAACTCTGGACAGGTAAACATTACATTTGTTGTAGGGGTAGGGGGGTGGGATAACTCACAGGTACAATGATAGAAAGTGTGACAGGATCGGGAGTCTTGACAGGTAAACATTACATATGTTGTAGGGGGAATAACTCACAGGTACAACGATGGAAAGTGTGACAGGAACGGACAAATCTGGACAGGTAAACATTATATATGTTGTAGAGGGGGGGATAACTCACAGGTTCACAGGTACAACGATGGAAAGTGTGACAGGATCGGGAGGCTTGACAGGTAAACATTACATATGTTGTAGGGGGGATAACTCACAAACTTTAATGTGTGGTAAAATAAGGAACAGAAGGTGGGATACTTTTACATGATAGTTACTATACAATGTATTTCAAATGTTTGTTATTTCAGGAACAATGGGCAAGGAGTTTAAAGACAGCATTGAGTTAGAGCGTGGGTGTTTGTACAGTTTTGACAGTTCAGGACTGAGGAGTCACATGGACAAGGTCAGCATATCCAATGGCATCGCCTGGACATTGGACAACAAAACCATGTATTTTATTGACTCTCCCTTGAAGAAAATCTACGCATTCGATTATGATGCAGAGACAGGAAATATCAGTAAGATTGTTTTTTTCAAAATTGCCTTTGAGTTGCCCTCATGTTCCTGTGTCCTGTGTTTTTAACTTTAAATAACTTTATCATTAGTGTAGCATAGCTTCGTCATGTTTAATGAGTCAGTGTGCGTTCGTTGAAAAAGATATGGAGTTACTTGTCTGACTATGTGGGTTTTCACTGGTAATTAAGTTTTCTCCCACAGTAAGATCCCATGCCCGCTTCCATCAAGGCCAACAAGAGTGATTCATATAAGCTGAAAGCTTTATTCGTAGTTGTTGTAAAATAAATAAGGTTTATATTTAAAGAAATTCTAAAGCATCCTATTCTTTATAGTGTTTCACCAAGCCAAATGTGTATAAAAATCAAATGGTTGATCACCATTGTAATGTTGCTGCACAGTTTAAAGTAAGGATACATTTTGTAGTCTCCACATTAAACTGGACTTGTGTTTTAAATTGCGTAAACTCATTGATTTCAAAGGACAGAAATATCACTTGTATTAGGTTATTTTGCTTATAATGTCATTGATGTCTCCTTACACTCTTCTGTATAAAATGGGGGGGTTGGCATCCATGTCCAATGCACTTGAAAAAAAATATTGTTGTGGAGAGATATTATCATGTGAAGGTGTTTATATAGTTTCTTACAGAGCAGCAAATTTCCTCATAATCAAGCCCTTTAAATATTTGTTCTCTATTTATGTTGTGTACTCCGATAAAATTTAACATACATTACAACATGGACAAGTCAAAATCGATGGGACCAAATGAAATATTCGACTTATCTGATGGTTCAACTTAGCCGTGGTTCTATGAACGGTGATATTGTGCATCGACGATTGACTGTATTTTCATCGGTTGTTTACCAGTACGTGTCTTACAACATGGCGTGACAGTAATGAATAACTAACACATAAATGAAAACTTGTTATACTTTTATACAAGAAACGATATATTTCATTTAAATAAACAGTTATAAGTATGAATATAAAACAAAAATTGTAATGTGAAACACTTGTCATTGAATTGCAGCACACACATGTAAGTTAGTTCATTATTTCAGTCCTTGAAAATCAGGTGCATTCACTTCTAAAGGGTTTTCTACAATTAATTGTACTTTTTAATGTCACTAATATAAATCTCTGTCAAATTTTAATTTACACTAATTTCAAGATTATTCACTTCAGGTTGAATTTAATTTGACAGAGTTATGCCCCTTGCACTTCAAAATTTTCAGACAATCTATAGCTCATTATCTCAGTCAGACATTTTGAATTGAAATTTGGTATATACATGTATTATAGAAAAACGCTGGTCAAATTAGTTGGGTTAGATAATATTTATACGCGTAGATCTATACTCCTTGGCCTTAGAAAATTTCAAACACTGTACATTTTCAATTTTGTCCCCGAGGGCATTCTTGTTGTACTGACATATCTAGTTTCTGAATATTTTCAGCATATTTGAAAAATATTTGTATTTTCAAGAATAAAATGTTTGGGTTTAATTTCAATTAAAAATCACTATCATACACAGTATAAAAGGAGTTGCTTCCCTTGTATAACATAATCTCTGTTTAGGCTAATGGCAAATTTTTCTCATTTTTCTCATTTGTTTTTACATATGTATGTCAAGAAAATTGTACAAAATGATTGCTATCCTTTTCATTTTCATTTCACACTCTGTATATCTCTGTACATACACTTCACTGGCCATTAAAATGCCTGGCAAGGGTGACTGTTCTCTTTAGAATATTATACACAAATTTTCCTTTAGATTTTCTAACTGGCCATTTTATAGGAATCTGAAGAGTGTTTCATATTACATATACATGGTTTTAAATGTTGTATAAATAAAACATATATATAACTCCTCGGAAATCATCATTCTCTTATCTCTTCAGACTATTTCTGATTTGTTCAACATCTTCCCTTCTACAGTGGAGCCATTGGTGAATAAGTGGGTCAGATCACAATAAAACACAGCTAACCTGTCTTATGATTGTGTCTGAGGTCCATTATTCATTCCTTTTACCAATGTCATGCCAATATTCCAAAGAGAATTTGTGTTGGTTGATTGTCATTTCCGAAACATTGCATTGACTTTTGCAGCCTTATATAAGATACAGTACCTTGACTTTGGCTGTCTTATATCTGAGACAGTATAATGACTTTGACTGCCTTATATCTGAGACAGTATAATGACTTTGGCTGCCTTATATCTGAGACAGTATATTGACTTTGACTGCCTTATATCTGAGACAGTATAATGACTTTGGCTGTCTTATATCTGAGACAGTATATTGACTTTGGCTGCCTTATATCTGAGACAGTATATTGACTTTGGCTGCCTTATATCTGAGACAGTATATTGACTTTGACTGCCTTATATCTGAGACAGTACAATGACTTTGACTGCCTTATATCTGAGACAGTACATTGACTTTGGCTGTCTTATATCTGAGACAGTACATTGACTTTGGCTGTCTTATATCTGATACAATTCATTGATTTTGTTACACCTGTCTACAGGTAATAGGAGAGATGCTGTCGATGTAGCTAATGGCTATCCTGACGGGATGACAATTGACATGGAAGATAAGTTATGGGTGGCCTGTTTTTCAGCTGGGAGAGTTGTTAGATATGACCCAAACACTGGTAAGTACATATTGTAAGATAATTGATTTTCATAGGGGATGGATTTTTGTTGAAACCAAGGGTTCTCTTAATTCATGATTTCATATGATAATATATTACAGATGTATTCCTGATGTTTGACCAGAATTAAGACATAGTACAATATAAAATTAATTCCAACAGAATATGTTGTATGAAGTTTTGAGGAAATTACACATGGTTTTAGTTATAGTTAATGGCATGCTTCTTTTAAAACCATGAACAATTTCAATATTTCGAGGAACTTCTGAGTATAACTCAGAATAATCCTGAGACAGGTAAGAGGTTAGATATGATCCACAGGTAAGAGGTTAGATATGATCCTGAGACAGGTAAGGGGTTAGATGTGATCCCGAGACAGGTAAGGGGTTAGTTGTGATCCCGAGACAGGTAAGGGGTTAGATGTGATCCCAAGACAGGTAAGGGGTTAGATAAGATCCTGAGACAGGTAGGGGGCTAGATGTGATCCTGAGACAGGTAAGGGGTTAGATGTGATTCTGAGACAGGTGAGGAGTTGGATGTGATCGCGAGACAGGTAAGGGGTTAGATGTGATTCTGAGACAGGTGAGGAGTTGGATGTGATCCCGAGACAGGTAAGGGGTTAGATGTGATCCCGAGACAGGTAAGGGGTTAGATAAGATCCTGAGACAGGTAGGGGATTAGATGTGATCGCGAGACAGGTAAGGTGTTAGATGTGATTCTGAGACAGGTGAGGAGTTAGATGTGATCCCGAGACAGGTAAGGGGTTAGATGTGATCCTGAGACAGGTAAGGGGTTAGATGTGATCCTGAGACAGGTAAGGGGTTAGGTGTGATCATAAGACAGGTAAGGAGCTAGATGTGATCCCGAGACAGGTAAGGGGTTAGATGTGATCCTGAGACAGGTAAGGGGTTAGATGTGATCCTGAGACGGGTAAGGGGTTATGTATGATCTTGATTAAGGTAGGTACATGTGATATTCTACAATTGACTTAATTTATGTTTTACTGTTGTATTCTAGTTTACTCCAAAATACCAAAAGGTTTTCTGGGAACTGTGTTTGTATTCAAATGCAGAGAGGTACAATTACTTGAAATAATATCACACAATATTTTCCTCTCCTACAGGTGAGGAGCTACAAGTGATAGAGATTCCAAGCAAGCGAACAACATCTTGTTGTTTTGGGGGAGATAACTTTGAAGATCTCTATGTTACTTCATGTGCCAAGCACGTAAGTGTGGAGAACCTAACATTGAATGAGGTGCTAAAAGAGGAGCCTTTGGCAGGATCTGTGTTCAGAGTTACAGGACTTGGGGTCAGAGGTCAAGCAGCTAACAAATATAACAGATGAGAGTGGCAGTCACCCATTATATATCTGATAAGATAAATAAAAGGGACTTCACTTTATGTTGTGTTACCTCTAGATAAAATTCTCTGGAAGCAAAAGTTATGTATTAGTCAGATACTCCAACACTATAGTCATACATATATTCATGCATTTCATGGGAGATCTGCTCGGATTAAAAATAACATGACATTATAGAGGCTATGTCCAGCTGTTGTGTGGACCTCTAGTTGGTGCCTTTGTCCTTCAAATGGTTAAGGCGTTACCATGATCTGAAGTATACTTAAGTCTTCACCAACTGTTTGGTATTTAAAGTATATTTGCTTAATAGCATGTTATAAAGGTTGTACAGAAAGCACATTAGATAGTAAGTATATATACCAACCAAGAAATAAAACTATCATACAGCACTTATTTACTTTTCATTAAACTCCTTCAGGTCTGATTTCCATCAAATCTATGACCTTATCTATCTTATCTTAATCCTCCCACATCAAATTAAATCATACTATATAGTATCCACTAAACATATTCAAATTATTGTTCACCCGTAGTCTGTTGTCCTTTTTTTGGCCACCATCATCATCAGGTTGGCTGTTCAAATCACCGTGTGTGGCCGTGGTACATCTATCCAACTTCGTTGTTCTGTGTTTAAATACTCCTCGTTATGAAGATTTCCCTTCATCTGCATTTGTGCATTGTCCCAGTTTGGGACAGATCCGAATAAAAAAAAATCATCATGACGGACAGGCAGTCATCAAGAATTTTTACAATAATACTTTATTATCGCTGTTTCTAGAGAGGTATCTTATGAATCTTTTTTCAAATTTCATATTGAATTCTCCTTGGTCTCTAGGTGTTCATTATCTCCCTTGAAGATTGAATAGGAAGAAAAATTCACCGACAGGCGGCCATCATGGATTTTAAAGTTGAAAGTCTTTTGTCGCCATCTCTCGAAATGTACCTGGTGGATTTTTCTCAGATTTCATTTATAGGTTTTCCTTGGGCCATAGTTGTGCCCGTTTGATTTTGAAAATTATTGCAAAAACAAAATAGCCAAAAGGTGGCCATCTTGTATTTGACAAGGAAAATTCACAATGGCTATTTCTTGAGAATTATGGAATGGATCTTTCTCAAATTCCGTATGAAGATTCTTCTTGGTCCCGAGGTATGCATCATCTCGTGTTGGAATTGATTAAGAAAACAAAACTGTAGTTAGGTGGCCATCTTGGATTTTGACCATGAAATTTTTGTTATCGCTATTTCTCGAGAAATAATGCATGAATATTTCTCTAATTTCATTTGTAGGTTCTTCCGGGCCCCGTTTGATTTTGGGACTGGTCTGAAAATAAAAATGGCTGACAGCCGACGATTTTGGATTCCGTAGCTAAATATTATTATCGCTATTTCTTTAGAGGAAGTTTCAAATAACATAAATACGGGCAAAATCAGGCAAAGGAAATTGAATTAAGTCCAGACAACTTGCGTACCGTGTGCGTAACAGACAGAAATTGATGTGAATTTAAATTTCATATAATATGACACCCAGTTACCCGTTTTATTACCTTAATAGGGATGAAATAACACACGCTGTCTTCTTACAATAAACAGCGAAATGTGCTCTTCACTGATGACTTAAAGGAGTTTAACCGTTCACTCGATAACCGAAGGCGGAAAAGTACATATCTGTAAACACGGCTAGTTTAATCATGGTCTGCAGCGCGTCAAATGACCTCTTAGACTTGTGCAGTACCACAATAAAAGATTTCAGTTTAATTGTGAAAAAATCACTTGTATTAAACACAATGGTATGTTGTGTTGGTGATGTTATACATTCTTTTATCTGTAAATCAGAACTCACATCTATTTATGCCTTACTTAATGATTTCACTTTGAACATATGAAACGATACCACTTGGAAACTGACTGCTTCAACCGCTTCGGTCTTTAACTTGAAATATAAAACTTTGTCCATAACGCAGAGAAATGACCACGATGTTCTTAGAAAAAAATCACGAAAACTACAGCGAATATTTATTTTGTCTATTAAAAACTGTCAAACCACTATGTATAACACCAGAGACGTATATAACAGTGTTATATACGTCTCTGATAACACGCAGTTTGAGTTTAAGTTGCTGAAGCAAAATATTCTATAGCATTGAGCAAAACATCAAAACGTTGATTAGGAAAAGAATTGTGCCTTCGTTGAATCTAAGGCAAGATGGACCCTGAAATTGAATACATGAGCGCTTCAAAACGAAGGTGAAATAGAGCCAAGTAAAAAGTCGAACTGCATTTTGTTGGGTTTTCGTCCTTGAGGATTTGAGAGCAATACTGAAGGTCAGAATTGTTGGAAGCCTAAAAGGTGGCTGAGAAAATCCAGATTGGTGGGGAAAGATGTAAATCAATAAATAAACTTCATAATTTTAAATATTGAGTTATTTTAAAAGAACGTTCATTATTTGTGTATATTCTGAACAGTGTCACTCTTCAAATATACGCATTACAACATGGCGTGCAGGTTACAAACGCCTGACTTGTACCCCACCACCTTTGTCTACAACCTGCAACCCAGACACACAACATAGTAACACACTTCAATACATATTTAGAATAAGGTATAGTAGAGCCAAACAAGGAATATTACGGAATCATATGGTTGTTTTGCTTTTACCAGGAGAGGAAACTTCATGAAAACACGCATCAGTTGCAGCAAGAACATTCTGGGCTGGCTTCGTGTCTTCAATTTTATACGACTTACATCGGATTTACACGGCGATAAGATGATAATGAGGAAACATGATTTTAGTCAGTTGGAAAGTTCATTACAATCGTCTCTACTTCTCAAGTTTCCAATAAAAAAGTTTCTTTAAACACGTGCAGCCCACTTTGATTCCTGTTATGTGTAATCCCTCATGTTACACGCTATTTATATGAAGGTTACTGTACACATGGCATGTAATGAAATTGTGAGACACGTACTTGTAGTTCTATATGTAGGCTTGAGCGACGAGTCCCGGTATTATAATCTTTTAGGGTGTTGATTCGGAGAAAAATAACTAATGTCTGGATGAAAGTTCCAGCGTGTCTCTAATTTTACTATTTAGGGTAAAAGTTTCTACGTGTTCGTAACACTGTAATATTGTATACAGTAAATTTGTGGTTAAATTCTGTCATGAATTCCCGCCTAAGGTTTGTGGCTAAAATTCCTTCATGAATTCCCACCTAAGGTTTGTAATTAAAATCCATTCATGAATTCCCACCTAAGGTTTGTGGTTAAAATTTCTTTATAAATTCCCACCTGGAGGTTTATATTAGAGCTCCGTCGTCTTTCAAAGTCTTTACGACCCCTTCTTGTTCCCCATCCTGTGGATCCATGGAGGTGAAGGGGGAGACTTGACCTAAATACCACTGTTAGGTTTTTCGGTCGTCACACAGACTAATCCTTCAACATATTCTTGTACGTTGTCAGATTAACAGATACACAAGATAAAATGCTCAAGCATGATGCATATTTTTATTTCCTCACCTTGTATGCAACATAAAATTTAGATAAAGAATAATAATTATTATTATCAATTAATCATAGTTTTAAGTTTCCTTGGAAAACGTGAGCAGGATGACCTTTGACTCCTAATCCAGTAACTCGAAATACAGAACCAGAGGCGGGAAATGCCTCGCGCTCATCGTCAGTAGACCCTGCTGTTGCGGAAGTTACAAAGAGCTCGTCAAAATTCTTCCCGCCAAAACAACACGATGTAGTTCTTTTACAGGGCAATTGGATTTTTCGGAGAATTTTACCTAAAACATGTACGCACATAAACATTAATACACATAATACTAATAATTAAACTTGTAAACCATACTAAAGGACATTCCCTGTCTTTTTGTGATAAAGTCCAAAACGTTTAAGTATTTATTCAACCTATGGTGAGTCATGTTGACCAATCAAACCATGTTAAAATATTGCTAGATATATTAGTATGAACTATTTTGAAATATATGATATGTAAATCTACTACGATACCGTAAATCTGCGGAAATGATGAGAAATATAAAAAAAAAGGGGGGGGCCATCAGAGACGGGTTATGCTCCCCGAACGCCTCAAAATTTAAGGATACAAAATAGCAAAGGATAATAACTCCTAAATTATACAAACGAGAGTGCGCTGCACTTCTTATTGCTGTGATCTATCTACCTATGAAGTTTTTGTGTTATGTTCTGGACAAAATTATGACGGACGGACAAAGCGACGACTACAAGGTTCGGGAAGTATAAAAACAAAACAAACAAAAAATGTTTGTTATATATAATTAAATTTGCTGTTAATTACATACTTAATTGTTTGTTGCGAGAATTCAGTTGAAGAGGTTAGAGTTCACTACATTAACTATATTAAAAGCTGCAGTATATGGCAAATATTTTAAGTGTTTCAAAAATGAACTGAATAAACACTGGTAACACATTGATTTATCAAAAACACCAGCATGTCACCATAATCATAATCCAAAATCAAATTTAATAAAACTAGGGCAAAATAAGAACAACACTAGTTTTCACGGAGACTTTTGAAAAAGCACAAGGAGAATAAGACCAGGTGTTCCGGAAGTGTAAGTTTTTTCTGCTTCATCTACGACGCATCGCCATGTAAACCTTGGTCAATCCAAGCAAGCATATTCATGAGCTTTAGTGTCGTTACAATTAACTTTCGTATATATAACAAATTTCTTTGTTTTGGGCAAGTAATGATTCCTTGACTAAAGTATGGACGTCTCACCTGTCTGCGGGTTGAAGCAGATCACCTGTCCCGTGCCGTAGAAAGCCACCCAAAGGTTATCATCTGTGTCGATAGTCATACCATCTGGTAAACCAAGATCGTCGGGGTCAGAGGGGTCAAAGGTCCCGAACTCTACCACTGCTCTTCTATTACCTATGGTAGACATTGAACACAACAGAACTCGAATTTGAATGGAATGATAAACACCTATTAGAGCGTTGTAACACAGACAAAAATGACTTATGATCGTCTGTCTCGAAGTAGGTATACAAACCTGCTTCAAAAGGTATCGTTCACTTATGTGTGTGACACAGGTCTTTCATAACCTAATACCATAGCTAGGATTCGAACCCGGCACCTCTGGCTTACCAGTCTGACGCTCAACCGATCCAGTTAAACAGTAGTTCTCTCTAGTCGTGCGGTATATTGCGGCTAGTATTTACAAGGGTTACATGTGTCTGTTGTACAATCTTGGATAAGCTATGGAATGAAGGAGCCTTTGGGCCAAATGTGGATTCGAGACCAACGGACAGCATGTCTAAAATTTTGTCCTATCACTATGACAACGACAGGGACACAAATATGACATCGAAAAATAAGACTGACCAAGTGTATTGGCGTCCACTATTTTTTTTCAACAGCTTCGGATTTTTCTGTTCTTAAACATAGGGTAAAGGGTTTTAAAATGGCCACTTTGTTGACTATTGTTATGAGACTCCATTTGGCTGATTACGCTGTCTATCACCACCTCATTATAATATTATAAATTCCACAAGCTTACGTCAAAATATGCATTTCAAAAGACATTTCACGGAGAAAGTTTATATTATGATCAATATTTTGCGTCTGTTTTCATCCATTACATATACAACTCACGTCTACCTAAAATATTATATAGTTTATAACATACGTATGTTTCCGGAAGTGACGTCATAGTCGAAGGCCATGATCTGACCTGGGGAGCTCTCAATGTAGTACATGGTCCTTTGGTCAGACGACCACGCTAAGCCGTTGGAAACGGTCATCTTGTCCACACGTTCTTGAAGGCTGCCCTCAGTATCAAGACAGTACAACTCTCCCTTCTCCATTTCGAACACTAGTGGGTCATAGGTCAGTATATCTCCCATACTCCCTGTAAAAATGGGATTGTGAAAACAACCGAAAGGCTCGCTGTATAATCAAGACATTTGGATAAAAAGGTATCACGTGACCGTATTATAAAAAATTGAAACGAGAAAGGATGTAATCGTGAAATCGTGTAAACGAAACAGAATAGTAATACTTTGTTAATTGTTACACATTAGAAATCCACCAAATGATTCTATATTATTTTACACTGACTTTAATTCAGTCTTCTAAGTGAAAAGTTTCATGAGTATTCCAACATATTAATTCCCGTACATACCTAACCAGAAGCGGCCAGCTGGGTCACACTTTCCGTCATTAAATTTATTCTCTATGCCGTTAAGAGGTATCTCGTGCAGTGTGGTCAGTTTCCGAGACGTCCAGTCCAGGTGTGCAACATCCCGCCCCAAACCTACTAGGTATCCCCCGTCCTTACAGGGCACAGCGCATCCCACCCTTTTATCTGAAACAGTATTTCTATGTTAATGAAATTTACTTTGTAACAAAGGTTTTCGTCAGAAACAACCTATGTTAACTTCTATGATGGTGAATAAAGTCGTTCTGAATCAATTGATATAATAACCTGGCCCCACTTGTATAAAACATCTCAACTTGAGATTTCCTCAAGTCGAGATTTTCCTAAGCTGATCTCTCCATGAAAATATCTTGTATGAAAATTCCTCAAGGAATTTCAGGACATCCTAGCCGATGACTTCCTCCTGTTCCTTGAGAAAATTTTATACAAGCCGTTTTTGAGGAGATATCAGCAGAGGAAAATCTCGACTTGAGGAAATCTCAACCAAGTGATTCCCTCAAAAATATACATCCATTAGAACAGTGTATACTCTTTCGATTCGCAGAGCGACATTATTTTGTTTCGTTGGTTTCAGAACATCAGTATTACTGACAACATTGTGATGAAACAGTTCTAAGCCTCCGTCGGTTATAAGATTGTACTTACACAAGTGAATAACACCCTACCATAATTTAGAATTAGATACAGTATAGCCAATGAATTAGAATGAAAGAAATATACTGAGGACGAAATCATTCATAAACAAGAACGACACGTGTGGTGAAATAATATGTACCTAAGGACAAATTAAGGCCAATGTAGAGCTAAATGTATATATCTATATAAAGAATCCTTCTAACGGTAAATCTTTGCAGTTGAAATCCCAAATCTGAAATGTGTATTGGAATTGTCATACATAGATATAAGTATATTCCAGGTTTGGTTTCTACAGTTCAGATACTTTATGAGAAAAATAACAATTCCAAACTCTCACATGTCATGATTAATAAACTAAGTCCAACTAATTGTCAACTAAATGTTAAAATCTTAATTTAAAGCATCCAGAGAGATGCCTTTGCTTGTACATAACCACGAAGCAGCTTTTATGATGATGACACTTGTAATTCTATTGATTAAATTTGGAAATCAGCACAAATAGTGGCGTTGCCACCACCCCTAGAAAACATTGCGGCTCTGTCGATCATGAAATAACAATGAATAGCATAATAGTTCTGTTTGAAGGTAAGATCACCCAACAGGCTATTGGTATAGCTGTAGGGAAAACCTATCTACTCTTGTGTTTCGTACGAGGCTGAATAACGAGGTAACAAATACCTTGTAAAGTCCTCCAATTTCACTTTCTGATATATTGATGACATCCTGTCTTACAGAAAAAAAACCAGAAATGGAATTCAAGGATACGGCAGACTCTTCTACATCTTCCGCTTACCTCTTTTATTTCGTACAATGAAACAAACGTTTACAGCTTTCGACCAAGCTGTATGAAAAGATGATGATTTCAGTTTTCCATGTTGCAAAATTTCCATCTCAGGATAGCAACCTACCTGCATCCCCAGCCTATGGTGTTTACATGTCGCACTTGATGCGATATTGTCGTGCAAGGTAGCACATAGTCCGTTAGAGCTTCATGGTCGTCATGATGATCATTTGTTCGAAAAATATTATATTTCTTTGTACGATCGATGCTCGTTTGTTTATCTGCTGGTTCCGTTGTTGTAAATCTAATTCTCATTTGAAAATGTGACATTACTGACTTGGGGTGACCAAGATTTACACGGTAGGTGTCGTCGTTGAAGAAGAAGACGCATAATTCTCCGTAACACCTGGTCTTGTTTTTCCTTTCTACGTGCCTATTTTGCCATAATTCCATTGAATTCGTGTTTATATTTCGTGAATATGTCGGAGTTGATGTGTTGCTAGATGTGATATACTTACCAAGGTGTACTTTGTCCACGTTTCCAGTAAGGGAATCCCATCTGTAAACGTTCTGTTCTGTTATGTCCACGAACAGGAGGCTTTGGGTACCATCTTCCCAATGCGGTCCCTCTCCAGTCCCCGTAACATTAGGAATAAGTACTTCTACAGACATCGCGCGTCAGTGTTTATATCTGAAACAATAGGGACATATGTAATCAATATACAAGAACGGCTTCAATAAAACATCATTACTATATGAACCACCGAATATCTATATACAGTACTTGTGATAATCTTTTACTTTACCCGTCTCTAAAGTGTATGTGCTGAAATGTTGACCGAAGATGTGCTAAATTCAGATACATTTGTAACAAGAGATGATCATGTCAGTCATTTACATTCACATGAATTTTAAGAATCTAGGATTATCTTGATAAGCCGTCATCAAGTGAACTGCATGTCACGGGTCACTAACATTGAAAACTAAGCGTGAACATTATAGTTCATGTAATCATCTTTCACCATATCCGTCTTTCAAGTATATGTGTCGAAAAGTTTACTTAAAATGTGCTTTATTCAAATGCATTTGTAAGAAGAGATGACTATGCGGGTCGTTTACATTATTTTGAATTTTAACTCAAGGATCGCTGAGATTAGTCGTTACCAAGCAAACAGCATACCACGAGCATCGTAAACTAAGCGGGTGGTTTCAGTATTTCGATTTCAAATGAAACATTCCAGCTTCTTTTCCGGTCGGTAGGATTAATATTTAGCAAATAATTCGATATTTGCACCTAAAATATCGAGTTTCTTGTCAGGTATCGAAAGCTTACAACCAAGGTGGGTTGAGATGTAAGGTGATGAATACTAGACAATTTAATTCTCGTGTGATCATGTTCTCTTCCAGAATTTTCTTTTAGTATGTATTGATGTAGATTTACGCGGTGTTGGTGAAACAGGAATACCTTACCAGATTTAACACCCTTCTCAAAACACCCTTCTCGAAAAACCCTTCTCGAAACACCCTTCTAAAAACGCCGTCATCAAAAAACCCTCCTCAAAACACCTTCCTGAAAACACCCTCCTTAAACCACCCTTCTCAAAATACCTTCTCAAGGATTTCCACGTAGTTTGTCTTGTTCTAGTTTATATTTTTATAGTTCTTGTTTTATTTATTTATTTTGATCCACAAATTTCATCAATTGCACGATACAATTTGTAATTATAACATCTCTTGACGAGGCTTTCACTTTCACTAGTTAGAAAAACCCTTTAGCGAGAAATTGTCTGATAGATATAAAAAGTCGGACAACGTTGGAAAATAAATACAAAAATAGATAAGTGAAATGAAAATGTGAAATCATTTTCAGGATTTCTGTTAGAAAGATGGAAGCTTTTAGTACGAGATTTTCTCCTGCTATGGAAATACTGAAGAGAGTAGTTATCATTCAGCGATAACGAAATAATACAGCTCAGTATCATTGTTATTATATGCGATATCAATGCCAGTTAATCGTTAGGTTATTAAAATGTAATGTCAATGGAATTCTAACTAATATTTTAAATACTTTTAAACTCTACATAATTTTGTACGAAATGTTGCGTACTCACCAGACACGGCTTCGTCCTTCTTGTCTGTGTTAATTCGTATCAATGAATGTACACCACGTGTATGGTGGCATGTTCAGGCCACGCAGGGTATCCCGATGAATAACTCTATCTACCATATATACTTCCCTGGACGCCGATTCAATATCAATATGAATTTTAAAAAATTATCATGGTAGATTAAGGTATGATACGTTAACTGAAACACTCATCTAGACGGGGTTTATCTCTATAATTTACGGTACGAGTATCTGACAAACCACAGATAAGATAGCTGATAAATGGAGGTATATTTAATAAAGGGACTAGAACAGCTGGTGTCAAGACCGGCATTCTACAACAGTTTCGTCCTTCTGGGACATTTTAACGAGGCCCTAAGGTGTTAAAAGCTAAGAGATGGCTGAAAAAATGAAGTAGAAACAAATTACATGGGAATGTGGACTTAACCAACGATTTAATACATTGTTTTATAATTTCAATATTGAATGATTTTCAAAACGGTCGATTTTACTTAATGTTTGGTAGGAAACCAAGATTGCCTATCGATTAAGCTTTTTGTATGAAGAGGCAGCAAAAGTGTTCATGCCCTTGCAGATGTAGATGAACAGACGAACATCAAGAAAATACCAACATGTCAAAATAATCATAATCCAAACTCAAATTCCATGAATAAGACCAGATGTTCCGGAAGTGTAAGAGTCTTCTCCTTCATCGACGACACCCGCCATGCAAACCTTGGTTAATCCATGAAAGTAATGACACGTTTTCAAATAAGAGCAAGGTATACCTCAACAGAACCAACAGGCAAAATAACGAGCATCAAACACGTCCAGCTTCATATCGCACAAAAATAGAAAGTTCTCAATGAGATCACTGTGGCGACCATAAGAGTTAGTATATGATGTTACCACCGTACAGAAGGAACATTATAGTACGAGGTGCCATCAAAGAGCGTGGAGATCAAGGTTTAGTCAAAACGTTGGTACACGAGGGAAAGTTGGAGAAGTAGGAGGAAGATGTTTATATTGTCACAAAACAAGAGAACTAAAATGGGTTTTTTTTTTTTACAATAAAATAGTTTTATAATTGCTTGAAGAAACATCCAAAGTGCTAAATAGGCATCCTCAGTAGCAAAACGCACTTGTACATGTTCCATTGTTTTGGCAATATTGTTTCAAACAATCCAAAGTAATTAAATACATTTTGTATGTTGGTGTGTATTTGATTAGTTTCAAAATATGTTATAAAAAAGAAATATTTATACTGTGATGCGGCCGTGATTCCGGACCGCCGGACCGGTTTCCGTTTTATGTGATATACATTGTTGATGTTTTCCGGTTGTTCGTTGAGTTTTACCGCCATTAAAGGTTTACAAAATTCTGACGAGTTAGCTTGTCATTGAGCAGACATCCTACAAATATTCAAGCTCAACAATACTAAAAAGTACCTCATCATCAGTCCCACTCCAGATATCAATAATAACCGGGCTGTATGAAAAATTAGTATCATTAGTATAAAGTAAAACATGGTATTATACTGGTAAGTACCTTATCACCATTCCCACTCCATATGTCAATAACAACCGGGCTGCTCAAGAAAATTCCATATCACCACCACTGTACGTGTGCTTAACCCCCCCCCCATCACTTCAGTGACCTGAAAAAAATATATTAGTTCATAAGTGTCTACACTAAATAAATAAATAATAATAATAAATGAAAATAAATAATAATAATAATATACACTACACAAGTCTGATCTTTCTTCTTTTATTGAGGAAACAGACTATTTATTCGCTAGTGTTTTTCTTTAGAGGTACGTTAAATGTTATAAGACAGATAACCTGTATTACAGTTTAAGATGACACCTTCAGTGCGTCAAATTCTTCATGAACTATGTATAATCGTTACAAAAGCTCATCTTGGAATCACGCAATGATTTCTGGACAGTTACATATAATTGAATGAAAAATAAATAAATTCCGTGTAACATTTAACTACGTTGCGATGATCAAGCCTTTAATAAAAAGTGAAAAGGTCATACGTAAATCTGAATTTCTCGATGTTCCAATCACCAGATCATTTAAAAACTTATCATATCTAGTCCATTTTAATTCCTTAAATAATCGGAGTAATTCTTGATCAAGCGTAAATTGGAAATATCGAGAAAATCCAATTTGCATATTTAAATAACTCCTTTAAATATGTTGTCAAGTTTGGACATAGTTACGTTTAAAAGCAACCTTTCAAAGCAAACACTCCCCCACCATCCTCCCTTTAGTGTTTTTCTTATATTGGTGTCATGACGTCGTCTATGTGGCGATTGAGTCATTTATATACATGGTGCTGTTTCACTTAAAATTCAACGCAACGAATAAAACCAACCTGTCAAGAGGTATTTATGTTTAAAATTACTAGATACGAAGCAATATTTTCGCTAAAAAGTTGCAATATGGTGTGATTTTGAAGCTATTGGGGTTCTAGTGTAGCGGATCTGTTTCACATACGTTCAATATACGTTACCTATCCTGTATACATAATGATACCATGTAACATTTTTTGACAAAAAATGTTAAACGGATGTGAAGAGCGAGATTTAATACTTCAATTTATGAAATGCAATGCCCGACATTACTTCACTATATGATTACATTGGTAATTTTAGATTAGTGTATTTTGCAATGAATGGAATTGAAACACCGCGATTAAAATTTGTCCTGTTGTATATAAAAAAAATCAAAAGCATGTTTAAAACAAGTCTTCAAAAAGACTACTGGCTACTCTTGGTTGTCGCATGAATAATGTTCCCCAAAAAGGTGCTCTTCCTATATATACTCCTAAACGCTTCACTGAATCTATGTTCGTTACGGTATACTGAGGTTTTATACACTGTTGGGGGTCCTTGTTAAATGCTTGTTACTGTGTCTTCTTTTCATGGCATTTATGAATGAATTTCCGTTATTGTCTGTACAAAACGTTAAACCATAAGAGATGTATGATTCAAACAGGTTCCGTCTTTAAATTCCTTTATTTAACTTTTAATCAATTGCTGAAAAATTGCATCCAGCCGTTATTATGTATGATCAAGGGCCCCTTCGTATGACTGTCATGTCCAAGTTATGTGTGTGTGTGTGTGTTGTGTGTGTGTGTGTATGAGAGAGAGAGAGACAGAGAGAGAAAACTGGAATCACTTTTGATCATTGTACAGGACCTTGCAAATTATATATATTACTTGTCCGTATTGTCTATTTCTTTTGTTTACTTCATTGATCATATGTTCTGTTGTTTGTACATATATACACTATGAAACAAATAAAAGAAGTTTGTGTACACAAATATACAACACATTACTAAATCACTTGGTTTAACTATTTATAAATAGTAGACTCAAAGACTTCACAACATAAAAAATAATATTGTTATATCAAATGTTGTTAGATATTGTCATACAAACTAGAAAGCAAATAACAAGAAATCAATACACATCACTGTGTTCTGGTCAAGTCACTGGGAATTCAGCGCACGAGCCAGGTACACAGATACATATGAATATATACATGTGCTTTTATACACACTTGGGGAAACTAAATACCTGTTTCAAAATCTCTTAGCAGATTCAATATAACGCTGTGAACACAGGCACAAATAGAAGAATTGTTATTCTAACCAACTAAGATAAATACCCAATCACACTATAACGTAGGTTTAATTGAGTATCAAGATGTAAATGAAATAAATAGGGCTAAATAAATGGGGCAGTAGAGAAAGAAGTGATCCACATCTTCTACACGACTGTCACGACATATACATGATATATGGATTGTTATTTCACAGTTCACTGCCCTAGTGCTGTATTTAAGATAAACTTTCTATTGTTTCAGCCGGAATGGGATTTTTCTAACTTGTGAAAGCCCTGGAACCCCTGTATCATTTGTAGTGTGAGTGTATATATTGATGTATGTTATTATATGAATATTCATCAAGCTCGTTAAGTAGATATTATACTTCTGATAAGGTGTTGATGAGTGTGATTAACTAGTCCCATTAAATCTAGTATTCTATCGTACATATTATAGTAGCTATAATATCAGATCATTCCAAGTCTACCAGATCATTTGTTTCTGTTTTGTTCTAGCGCCAACTTTATCGAATAATACTTAGCAATACTTTCACAAATATCGCGGTAACCCTAGGAAAACTCGAGGACGAACGGTTTCCTGAAGGGGTAGTATGTAACCTTGGTAAATACTAGTCGCAATATACTGCTCGGCAAGAGAGAACTTCTCTTTAGCTCTATCGGTTTGAATACTAGCGGAGGCAAGGAAATGGATATCGTTCAATTTGGACATAAAATAAAATAAAACTAAACCCCATTCTCTAAATGTGGGAGTTGATATGTCTATATACAAATTAATCATTGACCATTTATGAAATTGAAATAAAAGTTGAGATTTTATGAAGGTAAATATAAACTCATATTGTTTCAGAGATAATTTAAAGACATTTTCTACTTTTGAAAAGACAATAATAGGCAACATACCCAAGTTAAAGTGATTTTATGCTATAATAATGTTATGGATGGAGCATTTTGGTAAATGAGTGAGGCAAAGAAATATACATTTAACAATTGAAAACATTTAAGAAAATAAATCAATATTGGAATAAATAACAAAGTTGAATGGAGTTACCTCCCCTACACCGACTGTGTTAGATATGAAAATAACAATTAAAGGTAAATTTCATACAAATTTATGTTGGATGTATTTTGAGCTCAGACGTATGTAATCCGCACCAAATCGCATATCCAAGAAAATTCAAACTGCTTAACACCTCCACGACATTAAAATTGATGGAAGTTGTACTGATAGACAGATGAAATTCTCGACATGATATGATATGAACACCTCAGTTTAGCTAATGCGTCCATAAACATTCAAATATACCAAAACAGACTTATTTGATAATGTAGCAGATAGATACGTAAACGTTCCCCACAAACCAATGAAGGTGTAGCTGATAGATACGTAAACATTCCCCACAAACCAATGAAGGATGTCTTTATGTAGCTGATAGATACGTAAACATCCCCCACAAACCAATGAAGGTGTAGCTGATAGATACGTAAACATCCCCCACAAACCAATGAAGGATGTCTTTATGTAGCTGATAGATACGTAAACATTCCCCACAAACCAATGAAGGATGTATTTATGTAGCTGATAGATACGTAAACATTCCCCACAAACCAATGAAGGATGTCTTTATGTAGCTGATAGATACGTAAACATTCCCCACAAATCAATGAAGGATGTCTTTATGTAGCTGATAGATACGTAAACATTCCCCACAAACCAATGAAGGATGTCTTTATGTAGCTGATAGATACGTAAACATTCCCCACAAACCAATGAAGGTGTAGCTGATAGATACGTAAACATTCCCCACAAATGAAGGATGTCTTTATGTAGCTGATAGATACGTAAACATCCCCCACAAACCAATGAAGGATGTCTTTATGTAGCTGATAGATACGTAAACATCCCCCGCAAACCAATGAAGGATGTCTTTATGTAGCTGATAGATACGTAAACATTCCCCACAAACCAATGAAGGTGTAGCTGATAGATACGTAAACATTCCCCACAAATCAATGAAGGATGTATTTATGTAGCTGATAGATACGTAAACATTCCCCACAAACCAATGAAGGATGTCTTTATGTAGCTGATAGATACGTAAACATTCCCCACAAACCAATGAAGGTGTAGCTGATAGATACGTAAACATTCCCAACAAACCAATGAAGGTGTAGCTGATAGATACGTAAACATTCCCCACAAACCAATGAAGGATGTCTTTATGTAGCTGATAGATACGTAAACATTCCCCACAAACCAATGAAGGTGTAGCTGATAGATACGTAAACATCCCCCACAAATCAATGAAGGATGTATTTATGTAGCTGATAGATACGTAGACATTCCCCACAAATCAATGAAGGATGTATTTATATAGCTGATAGATACGTAGACATTCCCAACAAACCAATGAAGGTGTAGCTGATAGATACGTAGACATTCCCCACAAACCAATGAAGGATGGCTTTATGTAGCTGATAGGAACGTAAACATTCACTACAAACCAATGAAGGTGTAGCTGATAGATACGTAAACATCCCCCACAAACCAATGAAGGATGTCTTTATGTAGCTGATAGATACGTAAACATCCCCCACAAACCAATGAAGGATGTCTTTATGTAGCTGATAGATACGTAAACATTCCCCACAAACCAATGAAGGTGTAGCTGATAGATACGTAAACATTCCCCACAAACCAATGAAGGATGTCTTTATGTAGCTGATAGATACGTAAACATTCCCCACAAAACAATGAAGGATGTATTTATGTAGCTGATAGATACGTACACATTCCCCACAAACCAATGAAGTTTTACTTGGAATGGTACACAAGCCCATAATCCCGTATAACTGTAAGATATACTGTATTCAGTTCTTGTTTGGCGTGTCGATGACATTCCCTAGAAACTATGGAAGGATAGCTGGTGTCTACGCTAACAAGTGCCGAGGATTACATTAACACACAGTATATATTCATATCTCGTTAATGTCCAGGACTCTAAATACATACATCTCCATATGTACGAACACATACATGCCTATTTATACGGACACATACATGCCTATTTATACGGACACATACATGCCCATATGTACGAACACATACATGCCCATATGTACGGACACATACATGCACGTATGTACGAACACATTCAAGCACTTATGTACGCATCCCCCGAGTTTCAGTAATGCAGAGACAAACAACTTATACCAAGTGTGTTTGTTTTATGATAACATTATCAGTACGTTCTCGATTACAAACAGGAGACTGGTTTGGCCGGAACGTGTGCCTCTATCCCACCGATGTAAGTGGTTTTTTTTTACCTGACATCATATAATTCACATGTCTCGTCATCAGATTCGTTATCAATCACATCCTTCAATATAAACATTTTTTCGTCACCTAAACAATCCATTTGCTTGAGTCAGTAACGACTTACCATTTATTGTAGAAATAAGCCAGTGAAGTGTCCCCAGGAACCCACGACAGTTAGGACACAATGACTGTGGAGGTAGCTATCGCAAACGTCAATTGTATCCTTGGGGAAGGACCACACTGGGACCATCAGGAACTGAGACTCCTCTTCGTGGATATACTGGCCAACAAAGTGTACAAGTGGGATCCCGTTACAGAAAATTTGGATAGTGTTACTTTAGGTAAAAATTGAATACCTGGTCAGTGTTGCTCTTAGTGAAACAGTGATACTCTAAGTAAAACAAGTCCACAGTGATAATCTAGGTTAAACATCCACAGTGATAATCTAGGTAAAGTAAGCCACCACAGTATTTCTCAGATAGTGACACTTCGAAAAAACAAACAAACTGAAAAGTGTTACTTAAGGTAGAACACAAAACAAGTTAATACAAAACTGGATGCTCTGGGGCGGTACATATAATCTGGGGCGGTACATATAATCTTGGGCGGTACATATAATCTAGGGCGGTACATATAATCTAGGGCGGTACATATAATCTGGTGGGGCAGTACATATAATCTAGGGTAGTACATATAGTCACATATAATCTAGGGTAATCTAGGATGGTACATATAATCTAGGGTGGTACATATAATCTAGGGTGGTACATATAATCTAGGTCGGTACATATAATCTAGGGCGGTACATATAATCTAGGGCGGTACATATAATCTAGGGTGGTACATATAATCTAGGGCGGTACATATAATCTAGGGCGGAATATATAATCTAGGTCGGTACATATAATCTAGGTCGGTACATATAATCTAGGGCGGTACATATAATCTAGGGCGGTATATAATCTAGGGCGGTACATATAATCTAGGGCGGTACATATAATCTAGGGCGGTATGTAATCTAGGGCGGTGCATATAATCTAGGGCGGTACATATAATCTAGGGCGGTATGTAATCTAGGTCGGTACATATAATCTAGGGCGGTACATATAATCTAGGGTGGTACATATAATCTAGGGCGGTATGTAATATAATCTTGTGCGGTACATATAATCTAGGGCGGTACATATAATCTAGGGCGGTATGTAATCTAGGGCGGTGCATATAATCTAGGGCGGTACATATAATCTAGGGCGGTATGTAATCTAGGTCGGTACATATAATCTAGGGCGGTACATATAATCTAGGGCGGTACATATAATCTAGGGCGGTACATATAATCTAGGGTGGTACATATAATCTAGGGCGGTGCATATAATCTAATCATATAATCTAGGGCGGTATATAATCTAGGGCGGTGCATATAATCTAGGGCGGTACATATAATCTAGGGCGGTATGTAATCTAGGGCGGTGCATATAATCTAGGGCGGTACATATAATCTAGGGCGGTACATATAATCTAGGGCGGTACATATAATCTAGGGCGGTACATATAATCTAGGGCGGTACATATAATCTAGGGCGGTACATATAATCTAGGGCGGAATATAATATAGGGTGGTACATATAAACTAGGTCGGTACATATAATCTAGGGCGGTACATATAATCTGGGGCGGTACATATAATCTAGGGCGGTACATATCATCTGGGGCGGTACATATAATCTGGGGCGGTACATATAATCTAGGGCGGTACATATCATCTGGGGCGGTACATATAATCTAGGGTGGTACATATAATCTAGGTCGGTACATATAAATATAGGGTGGTACATATAATCTAGGGTGGAATATAATATAGGGTGGTACATATAATCTAGGGCGGTACATATCATCTGGGGCGGTACATATAATCTGGGGCGGTGCATATAATCTAGGTCGGTAAATCTAGGTACATATAATCTAGGGCTAGGGCGGTACATATAATCTAGGGCGGTACATATAATCTAGGGCGGTACATATAATCTGGGGCGGTACATATAATCTGGGGCGGTACATATAATCTAGGGCGGTACATATAATCTGGGGCGGTACATATAATCTAGGGCGGTACATATAATCTAGGGCGGTACATATAATCTAGGGCGGTACATATAATCTGGGGCGGTACATATAATCTTGTGCGGTACATATAATCTTGTGCGGTACATATAATCTGGGGCGGTGCATATAATCTAGGGCGGTACATATCATCTAGGGCGGTGCATATAATTTAGGGTGGTACATATAATCTAGGGCGGTATGTAATATAATCTTGTGCGGTACATATAATCTAGGGCGGTACATATAATCTAGGGCGGTACATATAATCTAGGGCGGTATGTAATCTAGGTCGGTACATATAATCTAGGGCGGTACATATAATCTAGGGTGGTACATATAATCTAGGGCGGTACATATAATCTAGGGCGGTACATATAATCTAGGGCGGTACATATAATCTGGGGCGGTACATATAATCTAGGGCGGTACATATCATCTGGGGCGGTACATATAATCTGGGGCGGTGCATATAATCTAGGTCGGTACATATAATCTAGGTCGGTGCATATAATCTAGGGCGGTACATATAATCTAGGGCGGTACATATAATCTAGGGCGGTATGTAATCTAGGGCGGTGCATATAATCTAGGGCGGTACATATAATCTAGGGCGGTACATATAATCTAGGGCGGTACATATAATCTAGGGCGGTACATATCATCTGGGGCGGTACATATAATCTGGGGCGGTGCATATAATCTAGGTCGGTACATATAATCTAGGGCGGTACATATAATCTAGGGCGGTACATATAATCTTGTGCGGTACATATAATCTGGGGCGGTGCATATAATCTAGGGCGGTACATATAATCTAGGGCGGTACATATAATCTGGGGCGGTACATATAATCTAGGGCGGTACATATAATCTAGGGCGGTACATATAATCTAGGGCGGTACATATAATCTTGTGCGGTACATATAATCTAGGGCGGTACATATAATCAAGGGCGGTACATATAATCTGGGGCGGTACATATAATCTAGGGTGGTACATATAAAATAAGTCAAACACCGGGCAATGTCACAAACAAAGCTAACCCGATATTTTTATAAACCCAAACTCCCCTTCTCATATACATGAATTTAACGATATTAGTATAAACCAAAATTTACGGCGATTGGAATGGTGTCTTTGTTCGTCTTGTTGTAGAGGACACAGTTGGGGCCGTTGTTCCGTGTAAGAAAGGAGGCTACCTGGTAGGTCTTGGACGTACAGTAGCTCATTTGGACTGGTCATCTCAAAAAGTGACAAAGTTGCAAGAAATACCACTAAATGGCACCAAAAACAGGTTTAATGACGCTAAGTGTGATCCTGCAGGTAGATTCTGGACAGGTAAGAACAATCAGTATACCATTATGTTAAAATTTAAATTCAATATCATGCGTTCTCTAAGTGTCTTTGATTTTTGCAGTCAGGTATCATACAGTGTCAGGATTTTATTCTTTGAGAATCCCTTACTAAACAATTGATTTGAGGGGGAAAAGAAAGGCTCTTTAAGGTAGATCTAACCTGAACCATCAACAGACTTTTGACCAAGTTATATCTTACAGGGAGTATGGGCCACCAAATATCACAAAATCCTAACATTTTTGAACCCGAGAAGGGCGAGTTATACTGCTTCGATGCTGATGGCACCATCCACAAGCGCGTGGAGAAAGTGGGGATCTCTAACGGCCTAGTGTGGACTCAGGACCGACGTACCATGTACTATATAGATACCGTGCCAGCACAAGTTTACGGCTTCGACTACGACATCAACACTGGAGCTATCAGTACGTATGTAATATCCAGAAATGACATAAACGGGAAGTCAGCTTGCTATACGGTCGTCATGGTGATCTTATTGAGAAATGGTCTATTTCATTGTGTGATATAAAGTTGGAAACCTCTGATCCTAATTAGTTAACCTGTTGGTTCCGTTGTTGTTAACCTTGTTCTCATTTGAGAAGGGTGACATTACTTGCTAGGGTTGAATGGCGGGGTTCGTAAATAAAGCAGAAAAAGCGTACTCTTCCGGAACACCTACATGTGCATTTTCAGGAGTCTCTGTGTAATTTTGTTTGTTCATAATTTGCCCTAGTTTTATTGACATTGTCAATAAATGTGTCTGTGGTACTTGTAAACATGTGCGATGTCGTTCTTCTTTTTGTCCAACGTAGAACTATCTGACTCATAACGCACCTGATATATATATAGGATTGTCTTGGTAACATGACAGACTAGGTGTGCTAGTTTTGTGGTGCTACAGAAAACTGAGAATCTGTATTCAAAACACACGGATTGGTGTGTGGTCTAAAGTTAAACTACAAGTAGTAGATGTGATTTCTACACAATTTCCGATGCAGTTATACCAATAACTTTCAAATACATGGTTGACATATCTGATTTGCAATATAAATTTGACCTTCAGTGTGATTTTACTTTCGTTTCCTATTTCTATTCAGAGGTAACAGTCACAAGTTTTATAATATAGAAATGTGAAATGTTTATATCTACAGACTTGATATTTCCATGGTGTCTGTGAACTTTTCAGAAACGATAGTGCAAGGTTTAATCAGATGACAGCTTGGCAAGTAATCATAGGGAGAATCTTACATTGTGTTGTCGTTATGTTTTTGTCCTCGCCGCTTTGGTGGCAGCCAGATAAACGTTGAAATGAAACATCACACAACAGGTTTTCTAATTTAGCAAAGCGATCAATCAGTATAGGCCTAGTGTTGACGAGTCAGATTGTTTAGGAATATATTTACGTCACACTCGAGTCCATATCTCTGCAGCTTTTAACAGGCACAATGCTTTTGTTTTATATGAGCCCTGTTGCTGCAGACTCCTATAGTGTCACTTCGAGGCTGATTTTAACTAATTTAATGTCTAATGGTGAAGACATTACTTTGTATATGCAGTAAGGGCTTGTCTACATCATACAATTTAAACATGTACTTATGATGACTTAATATCTTTGTAAACACATTTAATATTAAGCTATTTTCGCATTTGTTTCTACTACAGCAAATAGGAGAGTTGTCATTGACTACAAGAGTTTTGACGACGCTGATTCTATGGGAGTCCCGGATGGAATGACAAGTGACATCGATGGCAATCTTTGGATCGCCAACTGGGGTTTCGGGAAAATCATTTGTTTTGATCCTAATTCAGGTGATAAGTCACTATCACTATCGACTTTAAAAGTTTCTTCAGCACTAAAACAGAATTACGAAGACTTTTCAATTCTTACTTTGAAATATATTAAATTTTCTTTATATTACGTTTCTTTCCTAGACGTTTCGCTTATCATAGTAAAGTTTAGAAGAATATCTTTTTTACCGTTTCATATAACGCATGTCATCTGTGGGTTGGTGATTCCCAGACTCGTCACTTTTGTGAAAGTATTCCCTTACGCGAGACCGATATTCGATTTTCTTTGTCCCTTTCCAATACACATCTGTTTTTATTGGTTTGTAATATTGAACTTTGCCTTGTTCCCGTCCTTTATCACTGTACTTCCTTCCTGAAACTTTGTGATATTATATGGTATTGTATTTTACTTACAGTGTAAGTGATGAGTGTCACTAGATCTTTACCGGTGATCTTATTTAATTGTAATTTGTTCCAGGAAAGAAACTGAGGACGGTTCAAATTCCCGCCATGAGAACAACTTCCTGTTGTTTCGGCGGGAAAAATTTGGATGAACTGTACGTCACATGTGCAAGTCAAGGAGCAACAGATGAGGAACTGGCAGCTTATCCATCGACAGGGTCCATATTCAAGGTCACGGGTTTAGGAGTGAAAGGGCTACAAGCCAACGTATATGAGGGATAGCACTCTCGTGGAATGATATTGGAAAATATTTTGTAACATCTTTGTAATACCACCTATCTCCACTTAGACTCTATTCTATGTACATAAACGTTACACTTTTTCTGATAAAAATGATTCCAGTGCTGTCGGTGGTTGTCGTTATGTTGTGTTTCAAAGGAACTACAACAGGTTAAATCTTATGCTAAATGCTAAATGTTCGTTGAGCATTTTAGCACCTATTGTGATAACACGAATCTTTGTCTCATTTTATAGAAGAAACGAAATAAATAAATATCAAATGGTAGAGATATGAATTTGAAAAATGTTTCCCCTTTTCTCCCACCTGTTGTTTAGTTTGATAATACAACATGACAAGTGCTTCATAAACAGAATGATAAATATTGTGTCGCAGCAAAAGCTTTGACTTTGTATCAAGCGATAAATTTCTCCTAATACACGAGGCAAGAAACCAAATGATGATTTTGCAAACGAAACAATAGTTAATAAAATTAATTTGGAATAGCTAAACAACACATAACGTGGGGAACACGGCATGCTTCGTGAAGGAGAACGTCGCTAAATATATATAGTATAAAAAATAACAGTGAACAACATCGGTAGCGTGTCAAAAGGCGGATTATGATACTACGTTATTACAGAGGCGTTAATAATGTGGAAGCAGGATGATTTCAATTTACCTATAGTGAATTTTCCATTTCCCGATAATAACATTATTGCATCCCCAACCTATGGTCTTAATTTGTCGCAGTTGATTCAATATTCAAGGACCTGTTTCTAATATAACAATTTTCGTACAAGATATTGACAACTGACAAACTCGCAACACTAGAAGCAGGCTGATAAAAATCGGACCAAAGTGTGTGTTTGCTCCATAATCATCAGTATTGGTAAAGTAAAACAAGGTTTTCTTGTATGAACATTTTTAATCGACTTGAAAGGATGAATGGCCAGTCCTGGTAGTTCAGAGACTGTTTTCTAATCCATATTTCAAATTTAAAAAATCTGTGATGACAACCATGTAGATATAAACTGTTTTATCAGTATCTGCATTACAATAATATTATCAGTATTGTCAAAAAGCACCAACATAATCATAATCCGAGCTCAGATTCCATAAAACTAGGGCAAAATATGAACAAAACAAAGATTTACATGGAGACTACTGAAAAAGTACAACAAAAAGAAGACCACGTGTTCCGAAAGAATAAGTGTCTTTTGTGTCATCGACAATACCCGTCATGTAAACCTTGGTAAAAATAATGTCATGTTCTCAAATGAGAACAAGGTATACAACAGCAGAACCAACAGGCAAATTGACGAGCATCAAACCTGACTAGTAAAAAAGAAATATATATATTCAATCGATCCCTATGGCGATCATAAAACTCCGCCATAATTTTCACCAACCTGCATCAATTGAAACCCCATGTTATGAATTTGTCCGCCAGTTTACGACATCTCCAATCAATATGGCAATATTCAGGCATGGAAACATTATAGAATATTACCAGGAACACACTATGAATTGCTATTTGCATCGAGTTTGACTTTTTTTCTTGAACATCCTAAAAGCATTTCTTCCTTGAGAACATTTAATTTTTCTACCCACATTACCAAACTTTAGTTATTCCATATTGAAAAAACTTGTTCATTTTCAGGTTAAGAGAATACTCTTTTCGGAGAGGATTAATGCGGTAGATGGATAATGGTTGTGAATTGTGGTGGAGTGTACTTACTGTTGAGTATGTCTATATCCAAGGTGAAATACACTGATGAGGATATATGTTGGACTTGTTGAGATCCTGTTGACAGTTTGGTATGATTTTGTTGATTAAATTTAAGGGATTAGGAGCTTCCGATTTATAAGAACTAAATATATGCATTTTTCTCTCTGTTTTTTACCTGCTTGTGAATATTAACTACTTCTTTATGTAAATCATGGTTTGCTATCTGATCGAAAACTCAGATAGTAGATTGTAACAGGCGGATGTCTACTCAATATGTGAATTATTTACATCTATCTCTCAGCTGACTAAATAACTATCTCGTCGCATAACGAACCACAGCACTGGCAACAGCACACTGGATAAAAAAGGTATCGACTTCACGGAAACCTAAACCGGAATATTCCGACAACACTACAACTTCTCACACGAGAATAGGCATTCAGGTATGACGAAAACATATATCAAGAAAATAGAGTTTTGCAAATAACGAAAAGTGTCTTCAGCTCCTGCGAAGAGAAAGTATGTAGGAAAATTACGAAAAAAAGTCTACAACACAGAAGAGAGAATTTGTTAGCAAATAAGTTTTGATGTCATCAGCTCCTATGAAGAGAGAAGGTGTTAACAAATAACTTTTGATGTCATCAGCTCCTATGAAGAGTGATACAAGCAAATAACTTTTACTGTCTTAATCTCCTATGAAGAGAGAAGGTTTTCGGGAAATTACTGATAATGTCTCAAGCTCCTTTTAAGGGAATATGATTTTTGCAAATCAAGTACACTGTTTACAGCTTTAGTCTTACCCATGTAAAGAGAATGACGTCATTGTATTTATGTCAACCAGTTTCTAGCTGACCTATGACGTCATTGTATTTATTTCAACCAGTTTCTAGCTGACCTATGACGTCATTTTATTTATGTTAACCAGATGACCTATGAACCAGTTTCATTTTATTTGTGTCAACCAGTTTCTAAAGTCATTTTATTTATGTCAGAAAGTTTCTAGACCCTCTGACGTCATCATATTATGTCAACCAGTTTCTAGCTGGCCTATGACGTCATTGTATTTATGTCAGAGAGTTTCTAGCTGACCTATGACAGATACGGTTTCTAGTAACCAACTTTTTAAATGTGTTGCCACCTGTCTCTAGTACATTCATATCACAGTAATCTACAGTTTAGTTACCAATATAACTGTACAAATAGAGCACACAGGAAGACACTGTACATTTTAAACACATGACGTGGAGTGTGTACTAAAGCCAGTTGTTATCTATGACCGCTGTCCTTTCGGAGATAATAAGGGACGAGGGTGGTTGAGGTAGACCGATAATTCCTTCCCGTTGCACTCCGACAAGGGTAAGTTATTGTCCTATGTTGTATTCAGATTCTGTTGATAACAGGATAATATGTTGTTTGATCTGAATATTTGCTAAAGCAAGCTGCGAGTAACTAATGTTTTAAAAATGCAAACAAGGCTTACAGTTTATTGCGATGAGTGCAACTATGGTCGAATTTGCTGGTATATGTAACGACTGCACAGTGTAAATCTCCAGTGCTAGATCGTCTTGGGTAGGGCGTAAGAATTGTGCCTGCTGTCCCCAATACATAATCGTTAGAGGCGACTACATTTGAGATCGAAGCTTTCTCTTCTTTCTATATAACTCTCTTACGTCTCCCTAAAAACTGCTTCAATCTCACACTTTAGTTGAACATTCGTCCTTGCAAGGAAGGTTCCAAATTTTGTCGCCTGACGTAAATTTTTAACAGTCTCTAAAAATTGGTAGCAGAACGACTGGTCTGCCTGTTTTCAGCATAGTGTGACCGGGTAGGGTAGGCTAAGATGGACATATTGAAGTATCCCGTAAACACATTCAACACATGCTCTCGCTTCACAAACATAGGGAGATTTGTAATGAAAATGTCTATTGTTTTTGGTGTATTTTTTTTTTACAAAATATTATTTATTTATCTAAATCTTCCTGGAATTCTTTGATGCGCTAAATCATAGCATACCTTGTGTGCTGTGTTATTTGTACTGTAGGAAGTTCTGAACTTTGTAAATGATAATGTAAACGATTTTTATGTCCGTTATTACGGTCTTTCAGCAGACGAGAAAAGAAGAGAAAGAGTAGACAGGAAAAATAGGGAGCTAGTGGGACCATATCCAACATGGTTCCTTTGATAGAGAGACCTGCTCCCTATACTGTTCGGAACTACGAAAGACTAACACCTATGTCAGATTGACTCTCTAATATTTCACGCTTGTATTGATAATACATGTGCAATCTATAGTTGACAGACAAAACTCGAGATGTCAGTGGAAGTTGTCATCAAGGACGGCGCCCAGACGACAGGAGAGGGTCCCCACTGGGAAGACAGCACGCGCACCCTCCTCTACGTCGACATATTAAATGGCGGCGTCATACGCTGGAACGCTGTCACTGGACAAAAGGAGGACAAACATTTTGGTACGTTAAAATTCAGATGCAGTTTAGAAGAGTTTTTTTTTATTTTTTAACTAATTATTGAATTGAAGCTTTTGTTTAAGAATTAATGTGGTTTCGAGAAAAATGTCCATGTTTCGATAGTATTTTCTATTCTTATATTTTATTGATTTCCCGAAGTTTTTTTACAGTTTTTCTTCAACGCTACTATTGGGTAAATACAGTGTATACCAGCTGTATACCAGTCATTCATGCGTCAGAGCTGTTTCTGGTCCGATGAAGAACTTGTTGAAGGCATTTTTTTCAAAACATGAACCTAGTTGAATCTTCTATGCCCGATCCCCCCTCCCCCCCCCTCCCCCACCCCGTTGTAGCAGCATCTTTCAAGCTACAGATGGATCATGGTTTCTGTGTTACAGATGAGCCTGTCAGTTTGGTAGTACCGTGCCGAAAGGGTGGTTACATAATAGGACTGGGCCGCAAACTGGCCCATTTTGACTGGGACAGTGGAAAGGTGACCACTTTACACGAGGTGCCGCCGAAGGGCTCAAATGATAGGTTCAATGACGGCAAATGTGATCCACGCGGCAGACTCTGGGCAGGTAACAAGGAACGCATTCTATGAAAAACTGGTTATCAGAACACGTTTACTGAAAGGAACTTTCAATAAAAACGAATTTCCGAAAATTCTGCATAATTTTGTAACACTATGTTTTGAAATGTAAGATAACTGAAGGTTTTACTCTTTTCTTAGAAAATTACTAAAGTAGTGAGATATATTTTTCGAATAAGCTCTGTCACTTCCTCGTATTTCACACGGTAGGAACGATGGGGCATGAGACTGTGCCTGCCAATCCCGAGAGGGAGAAGGGTGTGCTGTTCTGCCTTGGTTTGGATGGACAACTAGTGAGTTGTGTTGATAAGATCGACATCTCTAACGGTCTGGCGTGGACAGAAGATAACCGTACCATGTATTATATTGACTCGCTGCCCAGGAAGGTGTATGGATTTGACTATGATATCGAGACGGGCAACATCAGTAGGTACAACTTCAAAGAGTTGAAATACCACTCATATTGTCTATCATATATAAAATGTGTATAACTGACCCTGAGTAGTCATACAAACGTATACAGGTGTGTCCAAATGTTTAACCCATTGACCCTGAGTAGTCATACAAACCTATACAGATGTGTCACAATGTTTAAACCATTGACCCCGAATATTCATACATAAATATCCCAAGGTTCGATTTTATAACAGTTGTTGTCAGGAAACATACAAATGATCCCGAAAATTCATATAAATGTGTCCAAAAATATGTTCTAAAAAAATCTCCCAAATGTTCATTGCTGATGGTAGCTGTTGTAGAATGTACCAATAACGTTGACTAGGATTTCACCGTTTGTTAAGGCCCGTGGATTGCGATTAACGACTACATGTCTCCGACCGTTTGTTGTTATCCGCGAAATTCAAATGACTTCCCCTATTTATAAGTGGACTCTTCCGCTTAATCGTACGCGTGGACAATGACGATGGCAAAAAAAAGGTGGATAAGTATGTTCATTTGTGTCAAACCAAGTTTTTTCCAACTTCATTTTTCAAGTGATTGACTCCATAGTTTACATGTATTTTTATATAAACCACATTCTTAGTCTTTACAAATAAATAAGGATACTAGCATATTAGACAGAGCACATCTGAGCAGTTTCCTTGATGATTGGAACTTAACTGATCACCAAAGTGTAGTGTATCATATCCTTTGTTACTAGGTAACCAGAGGACCGTAGTGGACTTTGGTGAGGGAACACTGGGCAGACTGGGGTATCCGGACGGAATGGCCATAGACACAGAGGGCAAAATCTGGGTGGCCTGTTATAGTGTTGGAAAAGTGGTTCGCTTCGACCCCCAGACTGGTAGGCAATTGATCATAACTTCAATTTGTTAATAGGCAAAAAAGACCTCTTCATTAAATTCTCTTCTTTATCTTTACCTGTAGCCTAGCCACGTAATAGATGGTTGGTTTTTCAAATCACTTCCCGTCCCTGATCCATCTATCTCGTAAAGCATTGTTACCAGTATTTCTGAAAAGCTACGGAAGTTGTCCATTATGAGTTCTAGTATAGTTTCCTACTTGTTTTTTTAAAGATGGCAGCCATGCCATATTGAATTTTGGCACTTTTTGTTTGTGTCTATTTCTAAACCTAACCATACTCTTAAGGATCTTCTTAAGACTCAATCAACGTAATCAGGGTCTTTAGATATGTATGTTGCATTTTTATCCATAAAAGTTTTTTAAAAGACAGAAGTGCAAGATTTTGATTAAGATGAAAACACCATTATAACATCTACAAATTCTGTACAATGCATTTGTGCTTGAAAATATATAGAGTCAGAAATAGGTCTATTCACAAAGTAGCTGAAGGAAATGGACAGTCATTGGACTTTATTCTCATCTCTAATCTATTTTTACACAGGGAAAGAATTAAGAACAATCGAATTCCCTGCACTTCGGACAACGTCATGTTGTTTTGGTGGGAAAAATCTGGATGAATTGTACGTGACATGTGGACGCGAGGGCGCCTCAGAGGAGGAACTGGAGAAATACCCTTTGTCTGGTTCAGTTTTCAAGGTCACAGGGTTAGGGGTCAAAGGTTATCCTGCAACCATATACGAAGGTTAAATATGTCATGAATAACCGCACAGATTTTCACTTACATTGTATTTATCGTAACGAATCATTATAATGAAATCTGGATGACTAAGACCGCTTTTGTGTACCCAGTTGAAACGGCTCAGGTGGTCTGGAATTATTCCACAATAAATGTATACACTTGTAGCAGATGTTAGACCTGATATACAAAAAACTCAAAATGCAGTTTCAGATTTTCCAGTCAATCATTAAACAATTAACTGAAATTAAGATAATATCCATTCATACTTCATAGCACAATGCTTCCAGAAATATCAGAGTCGACCGACTCTACCTTACTCTGAAATTCTGAAAACTAATGACATTCAGCTATTTAGTTTCGGACAAGTACGGCTGGACCCCTCAATCTGCATTTGGGAAGTATTCTACAGTCAAGCCTCGTTCTGATCTGAACCGGGTGCTTTTCTTGCAGGTTAAACCGTTTCAACTGCTTACGCAAATGTGGTCTTAAACAACCTATCCAACCATGTTATTGAGCAAGAGAGACTATCAAAATGATTTAATATGACAGGTAATCCTGTTTAATTGTCCGAGAGTTTGTACAAATAGACAAATCAACACTTACTAATTGAGTCACAATGTTTAATTAAAACAATGGATATTATAAAGTATCCTGTGTTATATTTACATTGCTGAAATGTGTACAAGTTGCTTTGAAAAAAACAAAAACATTTGTGATTCAGTGTTAACTCCATGATTGAAATCAACAAAAAAAAAAAAAATTTAAACAGAAAAAATTATAAAATACACCCCCAATTTTTAACCAGTAATTCTCTGTGGTATCATGGTTTGCTTTAGAATGAGAAAAACCTGTGCTGGTAATTTACAAGGATGGGGGTTGTTTATGGCAAATTAATGCTTGTTAAGGCATTATTAATGATGAAATAAAGTTTTTGAACAAAAAAACTGATTCATTGAAGTCACTTCAACCAATAGATCTTCACAAGTTGATAAATTGAATAGGATGGTTTAAATTTTTGTGACAATAAGACTGCTTTGTAACGAAGATGTGGAGGGTAACGGTTGTGATGTCAGTGAAGAAGTATTTACAGAGATTTACAATACAGTTTAACATCACATAACAAGTGAATCTCTGAATCTAATAATGGTTGTAAACGGTATCATACATTGAAGTATCAAAAAATCAGATATCAAGCAGCTATTGTACAAACAAAATGTCTTCCAAGATAGGTAATGTATTTTCACAGTTACTGTGTATAAGGTTGAGAACTTTCTACACAAATAATGCAGAACAGGTGCTCACTGTATCATGATTAACAAGCAAATCTGTATTTCATATACACAAATCCTAGTTCATTCAAATGTCAACCCAACATTTTGTAAAGTTGGAAGATGAAATCCTTATCAAAATGTCAATTTTTGCATCAAAGACTGCTTATGTCTTCTTCATGCTTGGCTTGAGGTCATCAAATCCAGGTCGCAGAAAGATGTGAGGTTTCTTCTGAGGGTCAAATCCCTCATGGCCCTGATGGTAAACACACAACACATAAATCAACAAATCAATAAACAATATTAGTCAACAATAATAAACAAACAGATTGTTTTCAATATCATTGTATAAATGATATCAATGAAGGATTTGACATACTTGAAGATAAATATATACATTTTGGCAACTAAAAGGTAAGTTACCAGTATTTTGCAATAAATTAGTGCAAATATAGTTATGTCCTTGGATTAAAGAAACTTGGGAGTATGCAGAGCAGTACCTTGGACCAGTCATAACTTGTTGCGTAGGCAAACACGTTCCCCTGTGCATTGAAGTTACAGGCTGTTAATGGTTGATCAAACTGCTCTGACGTCTTGAGTTTTGTGCGAGCATCTTTGTCCCAGAAACTGAATCGACAATCTGAGCCAACGGTTGCTAGGGTTCCATGGGTAGGATGAAAAGAAATGTCATTTACCTGAAAAGACAAGTTTTATTCAATAGAAAAGCCAACAACATCAGAACGGTACTCCTGTAAAATATCCAAACATTCAAGAAAGAGGCTTCTGCAGAAAACTTGAAAGTAAGATGTTAAACTAGAAATCTGTATGAAAGCTCTTTATTTGAGTTCATAGTACAAACAGCCCTGTCAATATATATTTCAGCTAATTCCTTTGAACATGAAGTACAATTATTGTTAAGATCAATTTTTTTCAATACGTTTGAATTCAAAATGAAGTATGGTTTCGCTGAATTCATAAAACAATGAATTTTCATAGCAATTTTATTTTCCAGTAGCTATTTTTCTAAATTATTCCATCCTTGAAAACTACTCCAAACAAAATCCCTCATGGGAAAACAAACTTTGCTGTAAATGACCTGCATACTGTGTAAAGGTCCTGTATACTGTGTAAAAGTCCTGTATACTGTGTAAGTCCTGTATACTGTGTATATGACCTGCATACTGTGTAAAAGTCCTGCATACTGTGTAAAGGTCCTGTATACTGTGTAAAAGTCCTGTATACTGTGTAAAGGACCTGCATACTGTGTATATGTCCTGTATACTGTGTAAAGGACCTGCATACTGTGTATATGTCCTGTATACTGTGTAAAGGACCTGCATACTGTGTATATGTCCTGTATACTGTGTAAATGTCCTGTATACTGTGTAAATGACCTGTATACTGTGTAAATGTCCTGTATACTGTGTAAATGTCCTGCATACTGTGTAAATGACCTGTATACTGTGTAAATGACCTGCATACTGTGTAAAGGACCTGTATACTGTGTAAATGACCTGTATACTGTGTAAATGACCTGCATACTGTGTAAAGATCCTGTATACTGTGTAAAGGTCATGTATACTGTGTAAATCACCTGCATACTGTGTAAATGTCATGCTGTTGGTGGTGCTGTATATGATGAAAGCTTACCGTGTAAATGTCCTGCATGCCGTTGGTGGTACCATTGGAACGGTGACATTTAAACGTGAAGTTATCCTTCGGACTGGTCGGGTTGATGTAATGAATTGCTACTCTTCCTTCAATACTCCCCAAGGCAAAGCCTGTTGGAGCATTTGTTTTCTTATCCGCAAAAATACTTAAGCAACGATGCTGGAAAAATAATTTTGATATCATACATAACAGATATGCCCCATGATTAAGTTGAACTTTTCTCCAGACCTGACAGCACCTGTAAATTCTGATGATAATAGATTTTACATATCAGTAGAATAGAGCTATATGGAAAGCCTATCTCGGACTTATTAAGGACAAGGAGGGACAGATTTACCACTTGTTGGCTGTGTTTACTGCCCCATCAACAGCTAAGGTCATTTTCAGGTGATCTCCCTTTGTATTTGCCGGTGGTTATTTCAATGAACAACATACTGGAGACCCATTACATGCCATGCAAAGCAATTGAGGAACAGTGTCTGGCCCCAGAACACACCCACAATAGAGTCTGTGCACTCAGCTTCCTGATAAACACAAATCACAAAAAGTAGAGATCAAACCTTCAACACACCCCGTGTCTTCAACTGAGGTTGAGTACTCCAAAGTTCTACTAAGAAATTACAGCTCCTTAACATAAACCATGAGATAACAGAAACACTTCAGTTTTCACTATCTGGGGAGGAATTACCTGGAATTTGAGGGGTGACTCAATGCGACTGAATTCCTGTGGTCTGTTCTCTAGCTGGTAAACAATAAGCCTTCTCTCAGCAGTTCCCACTACAGCCATTGGGTATTTCTGTTAAACAATTACAAGTTTAAACATTTTATGTATAAATCTTTATCTGTTCCAGTCAATTCTTCCTTCCTACTATTGATGAAATGGTAAACACTTCACAGTAAAGGACCATTTTTATCATCATGATAAGCCTGTAACTGTTCAGTAATATTTTACTGTAATCAACTGATCAAAAAAACCAAACACAGTAAAGTATGTAAAAGCCAACAGTGTAAATCTAATGTTTTCTTTCTCTATTCAATGAAGTTCTAGAAAGTGATTACAAAAACTTACAACATCAGCACAGTAGCACCTCTCTGGCAGCTGTATGGAATCGATGGGAGTAGGCTGTCGAGTGTCCCAAAACTGTAGGAGCAATAATAATAGTTTTATAGAATGAATAGGAGCTGGTTGTCCTGTGTCCCAAAACTGTAGGAGCAACAATGATACAGCTATATAGAGTCAATAGGAGTAGGTTGTCATGTGTCCCAAAACAGTAGGAGCAACAATGATACGGCTGTATCGAGTCAATAGGAGTAAACTGTCATGTGTCTTTCACCTTAAGTGTCTTGCCCCAGCTTCCTGTCATTACACAGCTGCAATTAGGTGTTTAACCTTAAGTGTCATGTCCCAGCTTCCAGTCATTACACAGCTGCAATTAGGTGTTTAACCTTAAGTGTCTTGTCCCAGCTTCCTGTCATTACACAGCTGCAATTAGGTGTTTAACCTTAAGTGTCTTGTCCTAGCTTCCTGTCATTACACAGATGCAATTAGGTGTTTAACCTGAAGTGTCTTGTCCCAGCTTCCTGTCATTACACAGCTGCAATTAGGTGTTTAACCTTAAGTGTCTTGTCCCAGCTTCCTGTCATTACACAGCTGTAATTAGGTGTTTAACCTTAAGTGTCTTGTCCCAGCTTCCTGTCATTACACAGCTGCAATTAGGTGTTTAACCTTAAGTGTCTTGTCCTAGCTTCCTGTCATTACACAGATGCAATTAGGTGTTTAACCTGAAGTGTCTTGTCCCAGCTTCCTGTCATTACACAGCTGCAATTAGGTGTTTAACCTTAAGTGTCTTGTACCAGCTTCCTGTCATTACACAGCTGCAATTAGGTGTTTAACCTTAAGTGTCTTGTCCCAGCTTCCTGTCATTACACAGCTGCAATTAGGTGTTTAACCTTAATTGTCTTGTCCCAGCTTCCTGTCATTACACAGCTGTAATTTGGTGTTTTACCTTTAGTGTCTTGTCCTAGCTTCCTGTCATTACACAGATGCAATTAGGTGTTTAACCTGAAGTGTCTTGTCCCAGCTTCCTGTCATAACACAGCTGCAATTAGGTGTTTAACCTTAAGTGTCTTGTCCCAGCTTCCTGTCATTACACAGCTGTAATTAGGTGTTTAACCTTAAGTGTCTTGTCCCAGCTTCCTTTCATTACACAGCTGTAGTTGGGTGTTTTACTTTAAGTGTCTTGTCTCAGTTTCCTGTCACTACACAGCTGCAATTAAGTGTTTAACCTTAAGTGTCTTGTCTCAGCTTCCTGTCATTACACAGCTGTAGTTGGGTGTTTTACCTTAAGTGTCTTGTCTCAGTTTCCTGTCATTACACAGCTGTAGTTGGGTGTTTTACCTTAAGTGTCTTGTCTCAGTTTCCTGTCATTACACAGCTGTAGTTGGGTGTTTTACCTTAAGTGTCTTGTCCCAGCTTCCTGTCATTACACAGCTGTAGTTGGGTGCCTTGATGTGATGAATAGTCTTGATTGGGGCATCATGCTGCAACAAAACATCACCTTAGTTTAAATAAGATGTCTTTTTCTGTTTTGATCTTTCCAATCTGTGAGTGTTGCTTTGGTTCATGTATAGAACACAAATTGATTAATCTGTAATCATCCACTTTATGAATACCAAACTTTTCCCTTCAGTTAGAATTATTCAACAACAACAATCTCTCTTCCATCTTCAAGTCAAAATACTTGTAATTGACCAACCTTTATGGGAAGTTTGTGTTCGATATTGTTCTTTATTGTGACATTGTAAAATCTAATGACAATAAGGAACTCCAAGTTATCAGGGTCACTTTCAAGACTGTTTGTTCACAACATGGGATCTATGATTAATACTATCTTAACAGCCCATCAACACATAAAAGGTCACCATATTGGATCTAGGGGAACTTCACATGAAACTTAAAAAAAAATGTTTCCAACTTTTTAAATGAATTAGAAATAAAGATATGCTTAAAGAAAAATGACAACAACTGTCAAAAGAAGATTAGAAGGTGTCTGGTAACAGTTAAAACACTATCAGAGGCAAAAGCTATGGAATATGTTCCATTTAATAAATCGTAGAGAAAAAAGTATTTTGTATAGACAATCATCTTACTCGTGCAATCTACATTGCCCTGATTACTATAAAGGTTAGAGAAAAAATTTTTCCTGGAGATAACCATCTTACTTGTGCAATCTGTATGGCCTGGTTACTATTTAAATCCCACATTTTAGCTGTCTTGTCACACGAGGCTGTGAAAACTTTGGTCCCATCCTGTAAACCATTTAAATTGAATCAATATCAAACAAACCAGAAGTGAAAACTAATATCAATCTAACTTTATAATTGTAAATTTGACAAAGAATATGAACAAGTTATGCCGACAAATAATTTCAGTGATGTTCAGTGATGCATCCAAAACATTCTATAATGTGAGCTAGACATTTTGAGGATTAAACTATTACAAGTCCCTCTTCTAGTTTTCTTGTTCAACTTTAAGAATACAATTATGATATTACAGTGAAGCTGAACATTTGGAAAGTGCTGTCGATAAAACCGACCTAATACAGAGACATATCTATGGATTTCACTTCTTATCTAAAAACAGATATGACTTAGCCCCGTGCATTGTGCATGAAAATAAGCTAAATGTTTCACCGAGATATGTTATCTGATTAAAAACTACAGCCTGGAAATTATATCATTGGAAGAATCAGAACTTAGCATAGCAATGGATAGTATTATATGATAGAGTCACAATTTTCATGTTTGGTAAGAGGTTGTTTCCTCAGCATAATATGTATATAAAATTTATCATTACAAGAGCGTTTGATTAATGAAAACGGCAGACTTCAGTCTTCTAATCTGAAATTTTGTGCTGATCTGAAAATCTCAGTATTTTGTGTTTGAAAGGTGTGCTTACATCACTCCAGTCACAGTCAAGGATTGGTCCCTGGTGTGTTTGCTGAGCTTTAGGGACTGTCTGACCTGTCTGTTGTACCTCCCAACACCGAATCTATAAAAACAACAAAATGATCTCACAACATGAGGAACATTAAAAAAAAAGAGATAACAACTCTGACCTTCAGACACCACTTCAAATGAAAAACCAGGTCACAGAAATTTCAACTGAAGACTCCAAACATTCATTCTAACTGTAAACAAAAATCACAGAAACATCAGAATGAAGCTACAGAAGTAACTTTGGGGCATGAAAAAACACACAAAAAACATGTCGACAAATCTAATGACAGACCAACACTACAGATATATTGACTACGACCTCTGAACACCAAATCTAATGACAGACCAACACTACAGATATATTGACTACGACCTCTGAACACCAAATCTAATGACAGACCAACACTACAGATATACTGACTACGACCTCTGAACACCAAATCTAATGACAGACCAACACTACAGATATACTGACTACGACCTCTGAACACCAAATCTAATGACAGACCAACACTACAGATATACTGACTACGACCTCTGAACACCAAATCTAATGACAGACCAACACTACAGATATACTGACTACGACCTCTGAACACCAAATCTAATGACAGACCAACACTACAGATATACTGACTACGACCTCTGAACACCAAATCTAATGACAGACCAACACTACAGATATACTGACTACGACCTCTGAACACCAAATCTAATGACAGACCAACACTACAGATATACTGACTATGACCTCTGAACACCAAATCTAATGACAGACCAACACTACAGATATACTGACTACGACCTCTGAACACCAAATCTAATGACAGACCAACACAACAGATATACTGACTACGACCTCTGAACACCAAATCTAATGACAGACCAACACAACAGATATATTGACTACGACCTCTGAACACCAAATCTAATGACAAATCAAAACTACAGATATGAAAAGTCAGAAACTACAGAACCTGAATAATCTGTTCAGCACTATACCCAATAACTACCATATAATGACACTCGTGTACTGAACATTAGTATTACTATCAAGTGAACTAAACAAATCACACCAAGCAATGTTTACTGCATTATCATTAATCCAAAGTTTGGTCTTTTCATAATGAATTAAGATACAACCAGGAAGATGAAGTGCTAGACCTCCACATGTATACCGCTAATCCCAGTAAACCTCCGAGATGAAATGCTAGACCTCCACATGTATACCGCTAATCCCAGTAAACCTCCGAGATGAAATGCTAGACCTCCACATGTATACTGCTAATCCCAGTAAACCTCCGAGATGAAATGCTAGACCTCCAAATGTATACTGCTAATCCCAGTAAACCTCCGAGATGAAGTGCTAGACCTCCACATGTATACCGCTAATCCCAGTAAACCTCCGAGATGAAGTGCTAGACCTCCACATGTATACCGCTAATCCCAGTAAACCTCCGAGATGAAGTGCTAGACCTCCACATGTATACCGCTAATCCCAGTAAACCTCCGAGATGAAGTGCTAGACCTCCACATGTATACCGCTAATCCCAGTAAACCTCCGAGATGAAGTGCTAGACCTCCACATGTATACCGCTAATCCCAGTAAACCTCCGAGATGAAATGCTAGACCTCCACATGTATACTGCTAATCCCAGTAAACCTCCGAGATGAAATGCTAGACCTCCAAATGTATACTGCTAATCCCAGTAAACCTCCGAGATGAAGTGCTAGACCTCCACATGTATACCGCTAATCCCAGTAAACCTCCGAGATGAAGTGCTAGACCTCCACATGTATACCGCTAATCCCAGTAAACCTCCGAGATGAAGTGCTAGACCTCCACATGTATACCGCTAATCCCAGTAAACCTCCGAGATGAAGTGCTAGACCTCCACATGTATACCGCTAATCCCAGTAAACCTCCGAGATGAAGTGCTAGACCTCAACATGTATACTGCTAATCCCAGTAAACCTCCGAGATGAAGTGCTAGACCTCCACATGTATACCGCTAATCCCAGTAAACCTCCGAGATGAAGTGCTAGACCTCCAAATGTATACTGCTAATCCCAGTAAACCTCCGAGATGAAATGCTAGACATCCACATGTATACCGCTAATCCCAGTAAACCTCCGAGATGAAGTGCTAGACCTCCACATGTATACCGCTAATCCCAGTAAACCTCTGAGATGAAGTGCTAGACCTCCACATGTATACTGCTAATCCCAGTAAACCTCCGAGATGAAGTGCTAGACCTCCAAATGTATACTGCTAATCCCAGTAAACCTCCGAGATGAAGTGCTAGACCTCCAAATGTATAGTGCTAATCCCAGTAAACCTCTGCGATGAAGTGCTAGACCTCCAAATATATACTGCTAATCCCAGTAAACCTCCGAGATGAAATGCTAGACCTCCAAATGTATAGTGCTAATCCCAGTAACATCAAGTCAGAAAAAATCTGTTATTTCTTCATTTATACAAAAGGGAGCGTACATTTCAATAGTACATGTATTCCTTACCTCATAACTAACAAACTACAGTAATAATGCACAGTTACAAAACAAGAAACCTTAACTGACATCTAATATGATAATCTAGAATCCTTTCTTTCACGATTTACAAAAAAACAAAAAACAAAAAAAAAAGATCATGCCATTTAGTTCTGAAAAACTGAACAATAAAAATTACTGCAAGTTGTGAGAGGAATTTTGAATTGTAACTTATTCTGAAACAACAAACTATTAATCTTCACTTCCTTACGTTGTTATCCCAGCTTCCCGCTACCAGGAAAGTCTGGGTCATGGTTCCAGGGCTGAACTTAAGACAGCTAACACTGTCATCAGGAGGAGACGCCACCTGTAAAATCAATGGCAGAGTTTTTCTTCTTCATAATGGAGAAAAAGAGACAAATATACTGTGTTTGGCTTTAAACAAGGCAGCCAGGATCTGGTTTTAAATATGACATGAAAAGTTACACTACACATAAAGATGGGTATGAATGCTTCAGTGTTTTTTTATGGTATGCATAATTGTAATCAGATTTCCTCCCAAAATGAGACATAACTTAAGATCTTAAAAGTGTGATGAACATAAGTGTATAGATCTTTGCTTTTTTAATTCATGGACAAGATAAAACCATATAAAAATAAATTTACCACTGTAGGAAGGTCAAAAGCATAAAATGTCACGTTAAGTCTGTGATCCCTATAAGTTCTGTGATCCCTATAAGGTCTGTGATCCCTACAAGGTCTGTGATCCCTATAAGTTCTGTGATCCCTACAAGGTCTGTGATCCCTACAAGTTCTGTGATCCCTATAAGGTCTGTGATCCCTACAAGGTCTGTGATCCCTATAAGTTCTGTGATCCCTATAAGGTCTGTGATCCCTACAAGGTCTGTGATCCCTACAAGGTCAGATCCCTATAAGGTCTGTGATCCCTACAATGTCTGTGATCCCTACAAGGTCAGATCCCTATAAGTTCTGTGATCCCTATAAGGTCTGTGATCCCTACAAGCTCAGATCCCTATAAGGTCTGTGATCCCTACAAGGTCTGTGATCCCTATAAGTTCTGTGATCCCTATAAGGTCTGTGATCCCCACCAGGTCTGTGATCCCTATAAGTTCTGTGATCCCTATAAGGTCTGTGATCCCTACAATGTCTGTGATCCCTATAAGTTCTGTGATCCCTATAAGGTCTGTGATCCCTACAAGGTCTGTGATCCCTAAAAGTTCTGTGATCCCTATAAGGTCTGTGATCCCCACCAGGTCTGTGATCCCTATAAGGTCTAGTACAACCTGCTGAATTGCATAATATATATATCTTAAAAGACCTTTACTAGCTGTAGTGACCTTAAAACATAATAAAATTTGTGACTTTATTCTGTTTCCATAAATCTAAAAATTAAAAAAATATGGACTCAATTAAGCTATTTGAGCTAGGTCGATACAGCTAACACACGTCTATCAACAGATTGGTTGTACTGGACCTGCATATGCCGTTGTTTTATTGTAATTTTTTTCTGCCTTTAATCCTGATACCTTCATATATACTTACCTCAATATCTTTCATCGCATTAGCATTCGGGGAGGCTGTATTGCCAAACGAATTATTTGATCCAAATATGCTCATTTTTCAGGTTTACACACTCAGAGCCAATATCTGCAAACAAAACCTTCTGAATATACAAATGACATAAGAGATGGGATATCAATAATAAAACCACTGAATCCAGATACTGGTTTACATGTTTCGGCTGGATAGGCTAGCCTTCACCAGAACTCTTCTGAATATACGTTATCGTCCACATTTAAGGATGTTGTACATTAAACTATCAATTTAGATACATCTAATATATGCTACAGAATGTGACAAAGAATGTCGTAATGGAATATGAGTCACAGAGACACTGATTCGGCTAAAACCAGTCTTATCCAGTGATCATACTGGTTTTGGCACACGTTCGCATCACTGTTGCACCATTGCGACAAAAGATCGATTTTATTCTATTCTCACGATAAAGTGACGCCATAGTCATGTTACTCTATTTGATATACAATGATTTAACATTTAAAAGACAAGAATGGTCAAAAATAAATTATCATATTTATAAACCAATTAAATCTTTAAAGCACGAGAATGGGCCCCCGAGACTGAAATAGAAAAGGGAAATTCCATTCTCAGTAATTTAACTGTCGAGAACAACAGCAAAGCTGTCACAGGTAAAAAGTAATGCAATGTTGTTCAGCATATCTAAATGAATGACCCACATGTACTGGTCACTTAACAGATGATCGATAACTTCAAAAACGTCTTACTTTTTTTATCCTTCCCTCGACAAGTTGTAAACGCGAAAGACTTACCCTTGCACGAACTATGAAGAGAAATGATTGCGACTTCATTCATCAGGATATTTAAATCTGGATCACGGAAACGCTTCTTAAATGCATAGTCACTGAGACGTTTTTTGGTTGAAATTAAGGAGAACTGACAACCCAATTCTGTTGAATATATTTTCTCCTAAAAAAAACACACTAATTAGTCACACACATAATGTGTGTTTTAGATAGATGAGATCATCAGTACTTGTTGAATGATAAATATCGTATGCCAGGGTTATGCTATTTACTCACGACTGCACTGATTGACTACCAGAATTTAAAGTGGATTTTGTTTACTTTCTGTACCTGTAATTACACTCTAGTGTAAAATACTGCGTTGCAGACTCAGAACATATGTAAAAATTCATCACATTTAATTTAAAACATGTAAACAAATGACTTTCATCAATTAGATAGTTAATATAAATTTTGGACTGTAAGCGAACAATGCGTACGGTGTTTAGAAATAAAAAGAGAAAGTCTTGTGCCTCCCTAATCGTCATGTAAAAATGTCGATACATACAAACTATTATGTTGGTTAAATTCATCTGGTGACTTTGCAAAGCGAAAAGCAAATATCTGTAAATTTTGAAATATTGACCGTACCTTCCAAGCGTGATATAGCCACATGTATACGACTTTAAACAATTATACCTCAATGTTATTTCGAATTGCATTTAACATGTATACGACACGTGGTTGGGTTAGTCTCTACCAACAGTGCATAGCTATATCTGCTTTTACTATTAATATGTACCTTAAAATGTATTACAACTTGCATTGTAGTAGTAGACTAGAATCTACAGACCTGATAGTGCTACTAAAACCAAGTATACATACAACAGTGATCATCATTTTTTTTTATATATATAGCTAAATACTTTATATCGTGGGTTTCCAGGTGATTGAACTATCCCTACTTACAACTGTTACCTGAACACACCCGAACTACATTTCATCACGTGACAGTCTACATATCTGTACTTTTATTTTTTTAATTGGCGCGACTAAATTGTTACTGGAACTGTTTCGTGTCAGAAAACCAAGGTATGAACCTTGTGTGTACATTTTGTAAATGATGATCTCCAGCTATTAACCTGTGTACGTCGCCCCGCCTTACCATCTCCCGAATAGCCAACGAATCACTGTTATTAATCGTTAGGCGTTTAAAACTTTCGAATACGAATTTTCTACACTAATCAATTTAAATACACATGTGACCCTCGTATGTACCGCTCGCTTAGGAAGAACTTCTCTTTAGCTCAATCAAACTTAGTAATCTAGAGGTTCCGGGCTGAAGTCCTTGCGGAGGCATCAAAAGAAAAAATGACCTCTGTTACATATGAAAAAAATACTGCCCCCCCCCCCCCTCCTACTCACTCTGTCTATAGTACTGGAACGTGGACACCATAATTATGGCAACCACGGCGTTTTGGACACCATAGCAACTAAGATGATGGATGTTATAGTAACCGACTTTTCCACGCGCGGAAATCAATCGTTTCTGATAAAATGTTTCTAAATAACTATTACCCCATAATGTCAGGTGCTAATTTAGAATATTCAAAAACATGATAATTACGAAAGGTCGATAATTGATTCACAAGTTTTGTGTTGTTGGCCAAAGTTGTTGATGAAATAACGTCATGAGCTTTCATAAGTCTGTAAAACTGATCAAGCAGTATTAATTCTAGTTACAAAGCAGTAGAATGTTTTCCTTGTCCTCGATATATTTTTAACTAAGCCGACTCTCCAAAACTTCTCTACGTTGTATGTTCGTTATTTACTTCCTGTAAAAATCTTCCGCTGTTTCGAATCTTTTGTAGAACTCCGATTTTCAAAACAGGATATTGTATGATAAAAGGTCAGAGATAAAATGATAACCCCAGTTGTTTTTATTTTTGTCCAAACGATTTGTCATCACTTACATTAAAAACCATTGGGGACATGCGGATCTCGGATTTTAATGATATATTGATGTGCGCTACCAAGTCTTAAATCCCAGATAACTTTAACATATCGATGTGCGCTACCAAGTCTTAAATCCCAGATAACTTTAATATATCGATGTGCGCTACACCAAGTCTTAAATTTCGGATAACTTTAATATATCGATGTGCGCTACACCAAGTCTAAAATCTCTGATAACTTTGATATATCGATGTGCGCTACACCAAGTCTTTAATCTCAGATAACTTTAATATATCGATGTGCGCTACCAAGTCTTAAATCCCAGATAGCTTTAACATATCGATGAGCGCTACTAAGTCTTAAATCCCAGATAACTTTAATATATCGATGTGCGCTACACCAAGTTTTAAATCTCGGATAACTTTGATATATCGATGTGCGCTACCAAGTCTTAAATCCCTGATAAATATGATATATCGATGTGCACTACCAAGTTTTAAATCTCGGATAACTTTAATATATCGATGTGCGCTACACCAAGTCTTTAATCTCAGATAACTTTAATATATCGATGTGCGCTATACCAAGTCTTCAATCTCAGATAACGTTGATATATCGATGTGCGCTACCAAGTCTTAAATCCCTGATAATTATGATATATCGATGTGCGCTACCAAGTTTTAAATCTCGGATAACTTTAATATATCGATGTGCGCTACACCAAGTCTTTAATCTCAGATAACTTTAATATATCGATGTGCGCTATACCAAGTCTTCAATCTCAGATAACGTTGATATATCGATGTGCGCTACCAAGTCTTAAATCTCGGATAACTTTGATACATTTTGTACATCGATGTGCGCTACACCAAGCTTTACATCTCGCATAACTTTGATATATCGAGTGCGCTACCAAGCCTTAAATCTCAGATAAGTTTAATATATCGAGTGCGCTACCAATTCTTAGATCTTGGATAACTATAATATTTCGATGTTTACACCAAGTCTTAAAACTCAAGACCCCAAGGTCTCTCATGGTCTTTTCATTTCCGTTTTCAGACTAGCTGAAGAATACATTACCATACTTTAAGGTATACTCAATATTACTACGAAATGAAAGTAACTTTGACGAAAATAATACTCTGTGGATGCTATCAGTTCGTATGATTAAAAATTTATCCCCCGTACTGTCCTCACCAGGGGGGCGTTGCTGTCGAACAAATCCGCTACTACATGACAGCGTATCTGGTATATGAACGATCGATTGCATAATTTCCAATCAGCAGGTAGATAGATCGATACCTAAAGCTATTGACCAGGACGAGGTACTGTAAGTATTGATTTAATTCACTACCGACAACAATGGATCAGGATCAGATGGCTTTCAGGTACACTTTTGTGGACAGTCATTGTGGCGCCATCAAAGCCGTGTCGGCAAAATAGCCTTGACTAATTACAATATGACAGCTCATACAAGTCGCGTTGTTATGGCAACTTAATAACGCATACATACACAAGTGACACAGGAAATAATTTCTATACGGTTAATTAATTGTGTATTGTGTGAATGGAGTTCTTCTCGGTAGCTTAATATAAATTGATTCAACAGATTGAATTTGTTTTGCATACGGACTGTCCTAAGCGGACAACACAAATACACATCAAAGAGATCTATTGTGAAATACAAATCAGGGAGACCAAATATAGACATTTTTCCTCCATCCACATATCTTCAAATTAATACCTGCTGTGCTTCGGTGGGACATTTATACATTATATATCATTAACATTTTATTTTGCAAGTGAATAATACAGAAATATGTCATTGATCAAATTGTTATTTTTCACTATTGAAAACTAACATTTTTTGTTATTTTTCACAAATAAGACTTTTGCAGACTTACGCCAATGAAAAGAGAGAACACAAATCATCTGATAAAACTGACTAATCATCCAGCTCGGTACAAAAATCACAAAACCAGACATCTGAAGGCGTTGTTTACTTGTGATACGACCTTCAATTCCATGGTAAACGGTCATTTCCTTGAAAGTCAGCAAACAATGCAACGCAAATTACCTTATCAGACATCAAATCCAACCCCAACCGACCGTCCTGAATGTGGAGCAAACACTTTAGACATTTCAAGAGGATTCGTGCCATCAACAGCTGGCAACTGTAGGTTGCCGCCATATTTTCAGCCGCGTAGTAACTTGTCACAGGTAAATTCTCTTTGAACGCTTTGTAGCAAATTTTGTCTGTTAGTAACATGAATAAGTAATATTCTTGATGCGAATATGAAAATAAATTTGCATCGAATTTTATTTTTTGTTTTTACGTATTTTTAATGAATTTTCAAAGCGACTTAACTT